TGTGCGCATATGCGGTGACTTTGGCAGCAGTGTGTGCCTTGGCGCCTGCACACTCTCCACAAGGACCGCGCACGCCTCTGGAGCCACCTTCCAAGAGCCCCCAGGGACAGGGCACCCCCCCACTCACCCTCAGAGAGAGAAGCAGAGGCACAGAGCTCTGTGCAGGAGCAACTTGGGTCAATAGATGAGGCTCCTGGGGAATAAAAATACAACAAAAGTAAAATTCAAAAGAAGGACCGAGAGAAAGTTAAGGAAATCTCCCAGAAAACAGAGGCAGGAAAGCCTGCAGGCTTGGAGCAGGAAGCTCAGCGTCTGAACGAGAGAATTCCAGAACAAGAAAACAGGAACACAGGGGCGGGGTGGCAGGAAGGTTCCGGGCCGCAGGTAAGACGGCGCGTCCTCGATGACCAGGGCAGGGCCCCTTCTGGGCAGCGTCACAGCAGCCAGGACAGACGGTGCCGGCGGCCTTGGGCGCAGGCTCCGCGTGCAGGGAGGGAAGCGGGGGCCCTCCAGCTTGTCCACCCAAGCAGCGGCGGCCAGAGGATGGCGGGAGACTGTCCTCCATGCTGAGGGGAAGCGAGCCCTTGGGAGGGGCAGCTGGACAGCAGGCTCACCCACCCCGAGAGCATAAGGACCCCAGTGACTGCTGACCACGCCCTTCCTCCCAGCTCCTGGCTTGGGCATGAGGCAAGAAAATGGGGTCCAACCGACATAAGAAATAGGGAGTGTCTCCAGGGGTGGCAGGGCCGGGCCGGGCCAGCTGAGGGGTGCAGCTGGGAGGACAGTGGGGAGTTAGGGGGCAGGCAGGGGGGCAGGAGGGGCTGCTCCCAGCACCCAAACATGCTTGGGCGAGTTCTAGCATCTATCAGAGTCAGGGGGGCTGCTCACAGCTCGGGGGCGACGGACACCAGACGATCGGAAAAGGGAGCCAGCGGGCTCCTGCAGAGCAAACTTGGGGTGCACAGGGCAGGCTCTGGGCAGGAGGCTCCTGGCTTCTTTTTTTTAAGATTTATTTTTTTATTTATGTATACAAGAGCTGGGGTGCAGGCCGGGGGTACGGGGGTGAGAGGACTCCCCAGAGACATACTGGGGGTCAGAACAGGCAGATCCACTGTAACCTACTGCTGAGGGGAGCAGCGGGGAGACCAGAGAGGTCTATTGTGCCCTGTGGGTAGCTCCCTGGCTGGGGGTCACACTCAGTCTGCAGTGGCTGCAAGTGTGACTGCGCAGAGACTGGCCCCTGCGCCCAGGGAGGCCTCGCTCCTGGCTTCTTAACAAGCTGCATAACTGTTGCTCCATTTTTTTCATCATGTAACATGTCTAAACTTCATTTTTATTTATTTTTTAAAAAGATTTATTTATGCATGCATGCAAAAACTGGGGTATATGCCAGAGGTGTGGGGGTGAGAGGATTCACCAGAGAGTGGGGAGCAGAACAGGCGGATCCACTGGACTCCACTGCTGAGGGAGCAGCGGGGAGCCAGGAGAGGTCTGCTGCGCCCTGTGGGCAGCTCCCTGGCCGGGGTCAGACTCAGGCCACAGGGGCTGCGGAGACCTTCATAGTGCTGAGACCTAACCCCCACAGCCCCAAAGAGGCCCCTAAACTTCATTTTTTTGAAAAGATTTATTTATTTATTTATACGAGAACCGGGGTACAGGCCAGATGCGCGGGAGGGTGAGAGAATTCACCAGAGCCAGAGCCGGGAACAGAACAGGCAGACTGACGAAGTACACTGCTGAGGGGAGCAGCAGGCGGCAGGAGAGGTCTGCTCGCCATGTGGGACCCTCCTCCGGTGGCCGGGGAGCAGCCGGGGATCGAACCAGCACCGCAGAAGCCGCGGGCAGCTTCGCAACCCAGTGCTCAACCGCTGCGCCACCGGGGAGGCCCAAGATTCAGTCGATTTATTTTTATTTATTTATACAAGGGGTACAGTCAGAAGCGCAGGAGGGTGAGAGAATTCACCAGAGCCAGAGCGGGGAGCAGAGCAGGCAGAAGGACCGAAGTACACTGCTGAGGGGAGCAGCGGGCGGCAGGAGAGGTCTGCACGCCATGTGGGACTCTCACCCGGTGGCCGGGGATCGAACCGGCACTGCAGAGGCTGCGGGCAGCTTTGCAGCCCAGCGCTCAACCACTGCGCCACAGGGGAGGGCCCGAAACTTCATTTTTTTTTTTTTAAGATCTATCTATCTATCTATTTATTTATTTATTCATACAAGCACTGGGTACAGTCAGAAGCACGGGAGGGTGAGAGAATCCACCAGAGCCAGAGCGGGGAGCAGAGCAGGCAGACTGACGAAATACACTGCTGGGGGGAGCAGCGGGCGGCAGGAGAGGTCTGCGCGCCATGTGGGACCCTCCTCTGGTGGCCGGGGAGCAGCCGGGGATTGAACCGGCGCTGCAGAGGCTGCGGGCAGCTTCGCAACCCAGCGCTCAACCGCTGCGCCACCGGGGAGGCCCCGAAACTTCATTTTTAAAGAAAGCATTGGTCTAATTTAGAAATGTAGAGGAAAGTAAAAACACGCTCTGAATGACTCCGAGAGGAAGCGCCTGGCATGACAGCGCCAGGGCAGAACCAGGTCCTTGCGTGTATTCATTATGAACCAGAAGGGGGAAGCGATCAGGCCAGCCCAGACTCCTTTGGCCGAGGCTGTCTCTGTGACCTGTGTGTTGGGGTGTCTTCCCGAGATGCTCTTGGGTCAAGAGGAACCGGAACCGTGAGTGGGATTTGGCCTGGAGCCAGAGGGGGCACCCAGAAGGGGCAGGCTCCGCCCAAGCCCAAAGAGGCCACCTCTGGTGGGGCCTCTGCTGACCGTGGGCCTGGGGACAGTTTGTCGATGGGACCTGTGATCGCCTGACGCCTGGAGGATGGACTGGGTGGCGGGCATGAGGCCCAAGGGGCTGGCGAGACCAGCAGGGTTTGTCTCTATGGCAGCCGGGCAGTGTCTGGGGGTGGCCAGGACTGGCCAGTGGGCCTCAGGAGAGCTTCTGGGGAAGGAAGGGGCTTTACTTTGGGATGAGATGGAGTGTCAGGGGCCACACTTAGCCCCACCAGCACAGCAATTTGTAGGAGAAACTACATGGGAAGTTCGGACATTGGGCAGAGCGGGGACCGCAGAGGGGGGAGTCAGCAGGTGAGTCCACCCCGTGGCCTAGGGTGGGGTGGGGGGTGCAGAGGCCACAGGCCAGGAGCAGGATGAGGAGAGGAGGCTGCACAGGACTGAGACGTAGGGGTCTGGAAGGGCCCCAGCCTTCAGCTGACCTCAAGTGAACGCAGGAGGAGAGGGAACCCCAAGGCCGGGAGCAGAAGAGGGAAGGGAGAGGCCTCTGTGGGACTGAAGCGCCCCCACCCTCACAGTAGCCGAGGGCGAAGCAGCCCAGGAGGCCCCGGGGGACACGCGGGTGAGCACAACACGACCGCCAGCCCTGGAGCACTACTCAGCCCTGAAAAGGAGGCCCCCCTGGTGCGCTGCGGCGGGACGAGCCCTGAGGACACTGGGCTGACTGCTGACCGAGGCCCAGCCGTGGCCTGAGATGGGGGCGGGGGGCGGTCGGTTCCTGGGGACAGACGCCGGGAGGACGAGGGCTCCGGGGCTGAGAGGGGGACAGCAGCCGCACCACAGTCACATTGTTCCAGAATTAATTTTCTTAAATTTTGAAACAGGCTGGGGACGGCGCACGGCGCACCAACAGAGAGGCGGGCTGGTCGCTCCTGAGACGGGCAGGGCCGTGCCCGGGAGCAGGACGCAGCGGTGCGCGGGCTCTGGCCGCCGCCGAGGCCGCAGCGTGCACAGGAGGCCGCGCCTGGGCGCCGCCTGCCGGGGGCGGGGGTGCGGGCTGGAGTCACGCCGTGGGCCGTTACACAAAGACAAGGGGGGCCCCAAAGACTCAAGGGAGGCTGGTTTGCTCGCCACCCCACCTCCCGCTGGCCGCCCAGAAGCCCAGAGCGGGCAGCCGGCCTCAGCCCTCCCCGAGTGGACGGAGCTGCTTGCCGGGCGCCCCGGGTGGGGCCGGGCTGGGGCGCCGGGAGATCGGCGGGCTCCTCTCCCTGGGGACCAGAGGCCGGAATATCTCCGAAGCCACCAGTCAGCCGGGGGTCTGTCCCCTTCTCCCAACCCCTCTGCCCAGCCTGGCAGGCGGTGGGCGCGGCTGTCCCTCCCGCTGCCCCACAGGCGGGCAGTGACCGGCCTCCCGGGGAGGGGGCGCCAGGCCCAGCCTGACAGGCGGTGCCCAGCGCACTGGTTCCGCCACCAGAACAGGGCCCGGAGGGCAGCGCCTTACAGACAGGCTGCTTCTCCCGTGGCAAAGGCTGGCAAGGGGTCCCGGCGGGTGGTCTCCGTGCGGGTCCAGGATAGGGACCCGCCGCCCGGGACGCCAGGCTGGCCATGCTAAAAATGGGCGTCCAGGCGAACCAAGCCAGCGGGCAGCCCGCGCTGGGGTGCTCTGTCCTGCCCCGGCGGCGCGGCGTCCCAGGCAGGCGCGAGGAGGCAGGCCCGCGGCCCCTCCCAGCACCGGGCAGAGCTGGGCCGCGCGCCGCCAAAGCCACGGGCCCAGCTGACCCCGGGCTCCCGTGACCACAGAGGAAGGACACTGGGCCCTGGGGACCCTCGGGGAGTGGGAGGCCGGAGGAGAGGCTGGGGCGGGCGCAGGGAGGGCAGCACCTGTGCCTGGCACCCCACCCCAGGGCCCTGGCACAGAGGGCCGGATTCAGCTGGCCTGCCTGCCCTGGCCCTCCCACGGGTGAGCCCCGGAGGCGGCCACCACCCACCGGCAGAGTGAGGCGGGTTCCAGGGCTTGCGGGGCGGCTGGCCTGCAGATGGCAGGCTGGCATCTGAACCCACAAGACCTTCTCAGTCGGTGCCAGGTTGGGGGCACCAGCCCCCGCCCCTCCCAGGGCCAGATCCTCCAGTGGGCAGGGATGGAGCGGGGTGGGGGCTGAGGTGGGCTGGGATCGGCTGAAATGAGGATCTGGTCATCACCCAGCCCAGCAGGCCCGCTCTGGCTAGGAGAAGGCTGAGCAGGCACTGGGGACCCCTGGGAGACTGAAGAAAAAGAACTTGGCCAGAGTGAGGCACCGGGCCCCCACCATGCCTGGCACCAGCAGGAGGGAGACAGCGCAGGTCACCCCGAGGCTCTGGACTCGCTTTATTGTCATCAGCCGCAGCCGCAGCCGCGCACAGAGCAGCCTTGACACCCGGCCCAGCAGGCAGCCCCCCAGCTGCTCACCGGGCCCCCCACACGGGCCCAAGCGCAGGCGGGGCTGAGAGAGGCAGGTGAGTGGCCCAAGGCCCCCCAGCCAGGTGCTGCCCTCGCGGGACTGAAACGCGCCGCACCCCAGCGCCTGAGCACGCACCCCCCTTCTCCCGCGCCGCCGCCTTACCTTCCGGGGCGCCCCTGGCGCGGGTGGCCGCCCCCTGCTGGGGGTGGGAAGGGCCCCCGGCTGAGCCCCCGGCCTCGCGCACGGCCCCGCCTGCGCCCGCCCGCGGCGCGCTCCCCTGGGCCCCCCCGCGCAGGGGCCCGAGGCCGAGGGGCCGCGCCCGCCCCGACCCTCCGGGCGCCGCCGCCTTCCGCCCGGGCAGCCCGTGGCCCACCGCTCCCTGCAGACCCGGCGGGGCCCCGGGCCCAGGCCGCGACCCCGGCCCCGCCGCGCAGCCCGGGGCCGGGCGTCCCTTGCTCCGCGGGCCCGTCGCGGCCAGTCCGGGGCGCGGCGGGGCGGGGGCCGCGGGGCCGCGGGGCGGCGGCCGCGCAGCTCCCGGGGGGCCCCGGCCCGGGCCCCGCTCTCGGGCCGCCGCGGGGCGCGGGGCGCGGCGGGGCCGGGCGCGGCGTCTCCTCCTCCCGGGCCGACGCGGGGCGGGCGGGCGCACGTGGCCGCCGCCGGGCGCGCCGGGGCTAGTGGTCCTAAACATTTCACAATTGCGCTACAGACTGTTGAACTGTCAAGAACCACTGGCCCCAGCGCGCCAGTCCCGGCGCCGCGCCCCCCGCGCCGGGCAGAGCCGCGCCCCCGCGCCCCCGCGCCGGGCCCGCGCACCCGGCGCTCCCCGCAGGCCCCGCAGGCCCCGCGGGCCGCGCCCTTCGCCCGGCAGCCCCTGGAGCCCGCGGCCCGCGGCGGCCCGGCCCGGCCCGGCCCGACCCGACCCGGCCCGGCCCGGCGCGGCCGGCGTCTGCGCTCCGAGGGCGGCCGGCGCGGGCGCCTTTTAAGCGCGCGGCCGCCGCCCCCGCCGCCGGAATGCGCCGGCCGCGCTGGCCCGACCGGTCGGGCCGGGCCGGGCGGCTCCCGGGCCCGCGGGTCGCGCGGCGGGTCGTCGCGGGGGGCGGGGGGGCCTGACTCACGCCGCCCGCCCGCCCCCCGCCCGGCCCCCGCCCGGCGCCCGCGCCCCCGCGCCCCCGCGCCCCGCGCCCGGGGGGCGCACCTGGCGTCGGGGCCGCGCCGGCCGGGCCGCGCCCGCTTGGGGCCGCCCCGCGGGGAGCGCCAGGTGCGCGGGCCGGGCCGGGCCCGTCACTTCAAAGGCAGCGCCGCGGGGGGCGGGGGGCGGGGGGGGCGAAGCGAAAGTGAAACCAGAGGCGGAGGCGGCGGGCCCCGCGCCCCAGCCTCTTCCCGGGGGAGGGCCGCGCCGCCCCGCCCCGCCCCGCGCCGCCCCGCCCCGGAGCCCCCGCGGCCCGGCCTGCGCGCCCGGCCACCCGCAGCCCCGCGCCCGGCCGCGCTGCCCGCGGGGGGCACAGGAGCCCGGCCGGGCAGGCTGCGGGGACGTGGGGTGGCGGCCCCGAGGTCCCGCCTGCGTTTCCGGCCGCGGGCGGCTGTGTCGGGGGCGCACGAGCTGAGCGGCCGCGCGCGCAGGAGCCCCTCGTCCTCTGGGCCGCGGCTGGGGCGGGTCCCCGCGGCTGCCAGCTTGTGCGCCCCCCGCCTCCGCGGCTCCCCTCGGGTGTCGGTGACCAGCCCGGCGGTGGCCTCCGCGTTACGGCTGGGGACACCGAGGCGCAGAGGGACAGAGGCCCTCGGGGCACTGAGTGGGGGCGCCCCATCCCCCCAGCAGCAGGCGCTAGTGGGGTCAGGGCGGAGCCACAGGTGCATGTGGCCAGGGTGACGCCTGCACGTGCCCTGCCACACCTGGCGGCCGACCTCTCCCTGCCCAGTCGCGAGCCCTGGCAGAGCCCCCCACGGGGCTGTCCTCTTCAGCAGAGGCAGGCGCCTCTGTCACACTCGTGTGGGCCCGGGGGAGGGGGGCTGACCAGGACACACCCCTTGCCCCCACGTGCAGGAGGCACCCGGGGGCACTGCCTGGCCAGGGACCCTGACTCGGAATCTGTTCATGGTGGGGATCCCCGGGGCCGGCCAACATAGGCCTGGGGGCCACAGCTTCCCAGACCCGGGTCCCGGATGGGCCGTCAGGGGCCAAGGCCCCACCAAAGTGATGCTACCAGCTCTCCCTGGGATTATGGTCCCCCCAGGCCCTGAGGGGCTCAAGGTATCCCCTACATTCTCCCCCGGGGCCACACTGTACCCCGCATGCCCTACCACATGCCCAGGAGCCCCAAGTATGGGCCCGGGCCTGGTTTTCCTCAACGGTGCAGCAGGCCAGGGGCCCACTGGCCCCTCACCTGCATGGCTCCACCCCAAGGAGGCCGGCCCGCGCGGGCTGGAGATCCCGGAGGACAGGACACCACAGGCCTCCTCCCAGGAACACAGGAGGCTCCGAGGAGGCTCCAGGCTGGGTCTGCGGCTTCCCCAGCCTCTCGAGCCCGCGGCCCAGGAGACGCGCGCTGTCAGGCTGAGTCACACAACGGGTGGGCACCTGGCTGCGTGGGGACCCTCTGCCAGGTGGGGGTGCCTGGCTGTACTGGCCCCCCCCGCCTGGCGGGCAGTGGCTTCTCCCCTGTCATCAGTGACCCACTTGGGGACATGCCAGCCCGGCAAGTGCTCCCTCCCGGACACCCAGGCCAGAGTGGGCGTTTCCACCCTGGCAGCCCGAGACGTGTTCTGGGAGGGTGCGCCATGTGGGGTAACCAGAGCTCTGCGGCTTTCACAACAGGGCCTCGCAGGCCGAGGGGATGGGCGCAGTGGCTGCGAGTGGCGGGCTTGCCCGGGGCCCAGGGAGCAGGTTCAAGGGGTGGGACCTCCCACCAGCAGCCGGTGCCCGGAGAGGACGTGGCACTCCGCAGGGGCTGGGAACCGGCCTCAGCCCTCCTGCTTTCTCTGGGCCAGGGCCAGAGCCCCCCAAACCCCAGGGCCAGCCCACCCGCGGGGCCAGGCCAGGCGCTCCAGCCCCTCTGCCCCAAGGCCCCAGGCCCAGGCCTTCATTGGGGTGTGGAGCAAAGGCTCCTGGGGTGTTACCTGGTTGTGCAAGGCCGGCACACCCGTGCCTGGGCGAGAATCTGGAGGGCTGCCAGGCGGAGCCAGCCCCGGCCTGGGAACCAGGCTAAGGAGCCCGGGGCAGCGGGTGGAGCCGCCGGGTCCGCCCACCTGGGAGAGGCCGCGCTCAGGGCCGCCAGGGCTGGCTCCCGTGTCCCACTCTTGCCCAGACCATGACAGGCACAAACCCCAGGCCGGGCCAGTCCTCCCGACCACTCCCCAGTGCCCGGGGCAGATGGACAGACACGATCCTCATGTGGGCGTTCAGAGCAGTTCCCAGGGACAGGGCCCTGGCGGAGGCGGCCCCCACGCTCCTCACAGCCGGCGCAGGCCCTGGTCAGCCAGCCAGAGCCACCAGGAGGGCCTGGGCTGGGCTGTCGTTACCCCACCGGGCAGCCTCAGGCTTGGACAGAGGGGTGGCCAGGGGCCCACATACCTGGCCCAGCTGGGCCTCTGACACCCCCTCAGGGCCATACCCACCGGGCCCAGGTCTGCCCTGCCCATCAGCATCCAGAGGTCCAGCTAGGGCCAGCACTGGTCATCCTGCTGCCCCCCAAGGCAGGCGGCCTGGATGGGCCTGGCTCCTGTGGGGTGAGCTGGAGCGCGCTGTGCTGAGGGGCCACCGGGAAGGACCGTGACAGGTCCAGAGGGGGTCTGCCGGGAGAGGTGCATGCAAGCTTCCGTGTGTCGGTTGGAGGAGAGAGGACGGGCAGAGGGCATGTGGGGAGGGAACAGCCGGTGCCCACTCACCCCACACTGCCTGGATGCTGCCCTGGGGCCCGGCCAGGCGCCTCCCACCCCAGGGTGCTGAGGACACTGCCCTTTGACCCAGAGCCTGGGGCGCGACTCCCCACACAGCCCACGGTGCCGCCCAGACAGACACGGAGCCACACTGGGGACCTGGGGGGGCCAAGAGACTTTATTGCCACTCTCCCCAACAAAGAGCGGCGGTTCCGGGAGCCCGCAGCAGGGGCGGGAGCTGGGGGCGGCACGCAGGGCGGCAGGTCAGGGCAGGCAGGACGCTGGGCTGGAGCCGAGGCCTCGACTGAGACCCACGCGGCACTTCCTGCAAATGGGAGGTCCCGAGCACCGGGGGCGCTGGGCGGTGAGCCGGGCACCCCATCTATAGGGCCCAGCCTGTGCCAGGACGGGCCCCCAGGCAGCCTTGAGTCTTCCGAGGGCCGGAAGGTCCCCTGTCTGGAAGGCAGGTGGGGGCACCCAGCCCAGTGGGTCCTGGGGTGAGGACTGGCCCTGTAGGCGGGAGCCCCGCAGCGTCTCAGGTCCCCAGGGCTGGCGGAGCTTCTCGGCTGGCTGGGGTCGTCACGCTCTCCGTGGCGCCGGGCGTCACACAGCGGCCTGACAGGACAGCACAGGGGTCCGAGGGCCTGGGAAAGCCCTCCTGCCTGATCCCCAGGCCCCGATGCCACCCCACGGCCAGTGCCCCAAGACCCTCCCTGCGGGGAGCCCAGGCGGACTCACTGGCCCTGGGTCCCGGGCATCGGCACCGCCCTGCAGGCTCTGCAGGAGGGCCAGCACCTCCAGGTCACCCGCTGCTTCCGCCTGTGGGGGCACGAGGGGGTCGCTGCAGGGCCAGAGCCCCAGCCTGGTCCCCACCCCGGACACCCTCCCGGCCAGGCGCCCTTTGTCCCAGCGCAGCACCCCCTCCACCCGCCCACAGCTCCGGGCCCGTGGAGGACGGGGAAGGACCGGCCCCTGCCTGGGTTCCCAGCAGCATTGGCCAGTAGAGCTGGAATCAGGTCTGGGGCTGGGAAAGGGGGGAGCCTGTGGAACTACCCGGGAGGCCTTCCTGGAGGAGGTGGCCTCGCAGAGGGCTGTGGGGCAGCAGTGGCACTCACAACGTGCAGGGCGCTGCGTCCGTCGTAGCCCAGCAGCCCCGGATCAGCGCCCGCCTGGCACCACGCCCTCAGGCCTTCTCCATCCGCCCTGGACGCCAGCCTGGGGAAGGGGACGGGCTGTCGGGGCCTGCTGGCGCCCTCCCTCTGCCCACCCGCCCGCCAGGCTGCTCCGAGCAGCTGAGCCAGCAGGGCCACGGGTGTGCGAGCCGCAGGCAGCGGGCGCCTGGAGTCTGGTTTCGGCTGGTGTGGGTGACTGAGTCAGCGGCCGCCCGCTCACACGCAGCCCGGTGGCTGCTCGCACACGCACACGCCCGCCGCGGGCGCACACCCGTTTCAGGTTGCACAACGGGCGCTCCCTGGGCGGAGGCTGCAGAAACAGCAGGACAGTCTGGGGCCTCCTAGTGTTCACAGAGGGGGACACAGGAGGCCGGGGGCGGGGGGCCTGGACCCCGGCAGGCCCACAACGCCCGGCCCCGGGACAGCTTTGGTGGGAACGGCCTCACCTCCCTTCTGGGAGCCCCAGGTCCCCGGGAGCAGCCCTTACCTACACAGCTCTGTCCCCACGTCCTCCAGCTCCTGAGGGGACAGGCAGGCCCCTGCTGCCCGCAGCAGGCTGATGACACCCCGATGCCTGCCACAAGAGAGGGCGGCCGAACATGGGCCCCCGGCCTCTGCTCACGATCCTGGGACAGCACCGGCCCCCACCTGCCTAGATCTCAGGGTTCCCTACCCCTGCTTGTCCAGGGTAACTTCTCAGGACACACACGGCGGGGTGCAGGGCAGGTACGGGCCCTGTCCCCAGGGCTCAGTGAGCCCATGGCTGAGCACAGCCCCCGTCCGCACCGTGAGGCCTCGCCGGGTCTTCCCCGCCTGTCCCAGAGGCCCGAGTCCCACCCGGCCTCGAGGACAGCGTCCCACCCGAGCTGGCCTCACCACACCCCCCTGACCAGGGCTGGGGAAACTCAGCCAGCGGGGAGGGGTGGGGACGAGACAGCCTGTCGGGCTAGTGCCCAGAGAAGGGTCCCCAGGGGCCCGGCTGGGCCAGGCTCGGGGGCTAGAGCACGAGCGCTGTGGGGCCCCACTGCATGTCAGGCCCCTGCTGTGGGATCACCGCACTTCTGGGCAGCCTGGGAAGGGGGAGGGCCCACGGGTCTTGCTCCCCACCCTTACCCCAAGAAGCCCTGGGGATAGTTCCACTCCTGGCACCGTGGGCCGGCAGGGGTGCAAGGCTGGGAGACCGGTTGGGCGGGCTGGGGGTGTTGTGACACCGGGCAGGGAGGAGGGGCCAGCCCAGGCTGGGGGAGCTCATCAAGCCTCTCACCCACGCCCCCGCTGCGCTCAGCCTGAATCTCAGCCAGATCAGCCCAGCCCGGGACCGGAGCACCCAGCAGCCCCCCGCGCCCCCCTTACCCCCGCCCCGGCCAGGAAGGACCGTGCAAGCCCCTCCCCAACATCCCCCACCAGGGGCCACTCCCCAGGGCTGGGTGAGGGGAGGGGCCAGGACCTGCCTTGGACAGCGGTGACCCGGACCCAGACACCCTTAGTCTCTCTACACAGGATGAGTGAGCGCCCCCTCCAAGAGAACTCCCAAGGAGGCGAGGCCCAGGGGCTTTGGATGCCAAGCCCCCAGCAGCCCCACGTCAGAAGTCACGAGAACAGCATCTACACTGCCCCGGGCTGCGGCGGGCACAGAAGGGGACAGACGGGCTGACCCGGCCCAGAAGGCTCCGGCCACTGGGGCATGGGGCCTGTGCCCGCCAAGCCTGTGGCTGCCGTGGGCAAAAGCAATGAGCCTGGCCCTAGGAGGGGGTGCCAGGGAGAAAGGAGAGGCGGGTGCTGGCAGAGATCAGTGATGCTGGCCTGCTCTGGCCTCCCCGGCCAGCACCCTAACCCTAACCCTGGCCAGCACCCAGACCCCTGCCGGCGGGGGGGGGGGGGGGGGCAGAGCCAGAGCTCTGGGAGGGGCTGTGCCTGGGAGTGCCTGGGCAGAGACCCGGCTCCCTCCCACATGGCCCTCACACCACCCCCAGGCCGGCCCTGAACACAGGCCCTGGGCGCCTGGGGCCAGCAGAGGCCTCTGGTGCCCAGTCTCAGCCATGTTCTGGGTTCTCGGCCCCATGTCCGAGGACACCAGCTGCGGGGCATCCCCGGCTCCCTAGGCCAGGCCCTGCCTCCAGACGCCAGGCTTGCTGGGGAGCCTGCGTCTTGTCTGGCGCCCCCTCACACCCCGCCCGGCACCAGCCCTAGCCCCAGGTGCGTGACGCGGTGCGCGTCCGTAAAAGCTCCTCTGCCAGAGACCCCGGCCTTGTCGGACTTACCGGAGGTCACTTCCTCCAGGAAGGCCCGCCTTGACCACCCAGCCCGCAGTCCACGCTCCTGCTGGGCTCTCACCCCTGCACGGGCATGGCTAGCACCAGGCCACGGGAGGGGCTCTGGGAGCATGGAGGGGGGCAGCTCTGGGCGCACGAGGCCAGGAGAGGGGCTCTGGGAGCATGGGGGTGGGGGGGGTGGGGGGACTCTGGGAGCACGGGGACGGGGGTGGGGGGCGCGCCCTGGGAAGCAGGCGCCCTCGCAGCTCTGCTGGGGGAAGCCACACGCAGCGGCGGCTACTCTGAGACAGCTCTGTCTGGGCTGGCCCCACGGGTGCCCTGCCCACAAGCCCACCACAGTGCCCGGGCCCAGTACCTGCCCCGCACGGCCAGCAGCAGCGGGCTGAGGCCGTCTTCGTCCCGGGCGTTGGCGTCCGCCCCCCTCTGCAGCAGCATGGTGACCACCCCGGCATGGCCCCCCCGGGCAGCCACGTGCAGCGGCGTCTGGCCCCTGAAGTCCTCCAGGCGCAGGTCGCTGTCCTAGGCGAGGCAGGGACAGACCCCTGCTGAGGGTGGCTGGGCAGGGCCAGGTGGGCACGGGGAGGGCCTGAGGAGGGCCATACACCCTGGGGTGGGCCTGGCACAGTGCCCCCTCCCACTGCGGGCTGCTGAGCCCGGCAGACCAGGGTGCAGGGCTGGAGGCCCAGTGAGAGGCGGTCCTGCCCACGGCTGGCCAGTGCCCCAGCCCCGGTGCCCAGCAGGGCTGGGCTGGCCCCCGAGGACAGTGGGGAACTCACCAGCTCTGCCAGCGCTTGCAGGGCCTCCAGGTCACCGGCGTGGGCAGCGGCACAGGCCAGGCTGGGCACCAGGGCGTCCCGTGCAACACCGGCCTCCTGGGGGAAGGGTGGCACCCTGGACCCATGGGTTTCCCTGGGATCCCGAGCGTGGGCGGGCAGGGGCGCCAGGGCAGCCACGGTCTCAGTCACCCCGGGGCTGGAAAGGGCTGGACTGCCACCCGGACCCTGCTGCGGCTCTCGGAGCTGTTTCCCAGCCTCCCCACAGCTGCCGGGGTGCAGGCGCAGAATCACGGAAGGCACACACTGGGGGCACGGGGTGCTGTCCCCACTCCTGGCCGAAATGTGGGGCCCTCCATGGTCTCCCGGACGCAGAGGCTGGGGTCCCCGCAAGCCCCCGGGCAGTGCCGCGCCCACCGGTCCTGCCACAGCGCCCACGGCCAGCCCTGATCACAAGGCTGCTGCACCCCGAGAGTCATTAGCTCCAGCCTGGCTGCCCTAATAACAGGCCACACCCTCCTGCTCTTTCATCTGACCACAGCCGCCCCAGCAGCGGCCGCAAGCACCCCTGAAGCTCTCCCTCCACACAGGCCCATCCCCGCCTCCGCAGAGGGGAAACCAAGGCACGTGGCCAAGCCCTGCACCACTGGGCGTAGCGCTCCCAGGCCTGACACCCACCCAGGGGCCCGGTCACCCCAAGGCCTGCCAAGACCCCAGGCCCTGAGGTGCCTCCCTGGCCTCCCCCACCCCCAGGCTGGGCACCCTGCTCGAGGTCGCCCAGACAGTCACGGGCACAGGGTCCTCACCACGAAGCCTCTCAGGCCTCGGCCTGAGCGCGCCGCTCCCCACCAGGCAGCCCTGCCCCCCAGGCCGGTGCTGAGGCCAGCAGGGACGCCCCCAGCTGGCGCTGCTCAGTGATCACCCAGTCCCTCCGCGGAGGCCGCATGCCACCCGCCTGCGCCGGACAGTACCTGGCTCAGGCTGAGGAGCTGGGCGAGCTGGCAGCCCAGCACACCGCCCCGCCGGGCGGCCTGGCACCCCTCAGCCAAGGGCAGCGTCACCTCCCCCCGAAGGTCCCTGGCCAGCAGCTGCAGAAGGAACAGAAAGAAGTCGGCCTGGGCCCAGCGGCCAGAGCACGCCTGGCCGGCCCCAGGGTGTGGGTGAGGGCGGTCCTGGGCACGGCCGGGTCTGAAGCTCCCCGGGAATGTGAAGGGAAACTGGGGCTGCCAGTGGGCGGGGAGCCCAGGCCCCAAGCGAGCTCCCTCCACCACGGCAGCCCCCAGCCCTGCCCCGTCCAGGCCGAGGCCGGTCCAGCTTGCTGACCGCCTGCACGGCACCTGGGCCTGAGCCGGGTCCCGGCGCCCGCGCCCCGGCCACGCACCTCCTTCCTGCCCTCGGGGCTCAGCCCCGGCCGGCCCAGCACATAGGACAGCTTGGCCAGAGCCGCCTCGGACGTCATGTCGAAGCCGGAGACGATGCCCACCCCGGCCATGGCCTGTGGGGAGGGTCACGGTGGGAATCGGCGTGTGGGAGGGTGCCCGGCGGCCCCGTCCCGCCCTGCCCCGCCGTGCAGCCCGCGCAGCCCTGCCCGCACCGCGCCAGCCGCGTAGTCCGAGGTCACGGCGCCCTGCAGGCAGTGGGTGCAGTTGAGGATGAGCAGGCCCCGCGCAGCCGCTGCCCGCAGCTCCTGCAGCAGCTCCGGCTTGGTGGGCCCGTTGCCCGAGCCGAAGGTCTCCAGGACCACGCCCTTCAGGGGGGGCCGCAGAAAAGCCCGCACCTGCAGAGGGAGGGGGTGTCTTTGCTCCCTGCCCTGCCCCACACCCCACCTGCACGGCACCCCTGAAGGCCGCGGGGCTGCAGAGCCAATGACCCGAACCCTGGGGGGCCGAGGAGGCGGCGCGGGGCCGCAGAGCGGGTCAGGGCTGGCAGAAAGCACAGGCGAGGGAGCCGGCCCGGCCTCGCACCCGCGCTCCGCCCGAGCAACAGCACGGGGCTGCTCCCCCGAAGCTGGCATGTGCACCACGTTGTGGGGACACCGGCCCCACCCCTGATGAGGCTGCAGGGGAAGACGGGCCTCGGGTCCCCTCACCCAGGGACCGGCCCCTTGGACGCCCTGCTGCAGGGCACCCGTTCCCGGCCCAGGGTGGCCCCAGACTGGCCATGGGGGGAGCCCAAGGGCTGAGCCTCTGGCCCAGGGCCACCCTGAGCCACCTCCAGCCGCCCCACAGCAGTTGCTCAGTTTGGCCCCGCTCCTTCTCCAGGCAGAGGTCGAGGGGGAGGCCAGGCCAGTCCCAGGCGGCCCGCAGGGTTGGAGGGCCTGGGCCCAGCGCCGTGCTGAGGCCGATGACCCGGGAGCGGCCTGGGAACCCAGGGAGGCCCAGCTCCCGGCACCCAGGGGACCAAGGCAGCGTCCCAGCCCAGTGCCGGGGCCTTGCCTGGGCTGGGGTGAGGGGCTGTGGAGGTGGCCATTGGCTCTTCATGCTCCCCCGCTCCCCAGCACGCTCTAGAGATCTCGAGAGACACCAGAGATGGTCCAGCGGCCACCCACGGGAAACGCGGCCTGCTCTGGCCGTGTGGCCACTGGGACCTGACCGCCAGTCAGACCGCGAGGTGATGGGCTGGGCGGGGCTCCTGCGCAGTGGCCTGGCCACCTCGTCCAGCTCCAAGGACACCGCGGGGGCAAGTCCAGCCGCAGCACCCGCCCCTGCAGGTCTCAGACCTGTGAGGGCTCGAGGGCCGCGGGAGCGTGGCTGGAGGGGCGTGGACGTCACACAGGCCCCGCACCCACAGTCCCACCGTCTCCAGAAGGTACACTTGGGCACCAGCCTGGAAGAGGTGCCCAGGAAGTGTCCAACTCCTCCCTGGCTGCCCCTGCAGCCCAAGTCACAGCCCCGCCCGCCCGCCCCTGGAGCCAGCGCACTCACCCACCAGGACCTCAAGCTCGCCCTAGGGCCCTCGGGGCACAGGGGAGCCAAAGAACAACCAGCGGTGTGGCCCAGCACCCAGGGGGGTCCACGTGGCCGCTCGGAGTCAGGGCCAGCAGGTGTCTGCCCAGGCACCTCCCCATGTGTCGGCCACAGAGCAAGACCACTCTGTCTGGACAGAAGGGGCCGCTGTGCCGCTCACAGCACAAGGGCATGCGCCCGCCGCCCGCACCCAGCAGCCTCAGAGGCAGCGCCCGGCCCTGGAAGCGCCGAGACCCTCTGCCCAGCAGGGGCACAGCGTGGGGGCTGGACAGAAGGTGGCCGAGGGGTGGACCGCAGGGGTGGCCACACCCCACAGGCCCCCTCACCCCGCAGGAGCGGCCTGGGGAAGCCCACACCACAGCGCGTGCCACTGGCCAAGCACGGCTGGCGGGAGGGTGCAGGCCCCAGAGACTGGGGCTGGGCATCACTAGACGCAGTTCCCCAGGCACCTGAGGCAGTGCCCGGGGGTGGGGGGGCGGTGTCCTGGGGAGGACGGGGGAGGGCGGTGCCTACCAGGCTGGCAGGGATGCCGGGGTAGAGGCGCAGCAGCCCCACGTCCTGCTCCATGCCGCTGTGCACCACCAGGCGAGCCGGCCCGCGCGGCCTCCGTACCAGCTCCTGATTGACTGTGGGCCAGAGGGGCGGCGCGAGCGGTCAGGGCCAGTTGACACCCCTGCCCACCAGCCCTGAGCTGCCCAGCCTCGCAGGCCCGGATTGCAGCCCACTGGCCCTCACCGGCCCCCAGGTAAGGAGGAAGGGCAGCGGACGGTGGGCAAAGGTGGGAGCACAGCTGGCATGTCCCAGCACAACCGCAGGCGCCGGTGTCCTTCCTGGCCCCAGGAGCGGGGCTGCGTCCTCGGGACAGCCACCTCAGCCACCCTCCTGGCGCCCACCACCCGGCACCCCCAGGGGTGAGAAAATGACTGGATAAAGGAGCGTCTGGGCCCCGCCCCTGTGAGAGTGGCCAGCCCCGCAGCCGCGCCCAAGTCCCAGGGGCTGCCGTGTGCCGCCCCCTGCCCAGGCTGCAGGGGCACAGCGTGGGGGCTGGACAGAGGGTGGCCGAGGGGTGGACCGCCGGGTGGCCACACCCCACAGGCCCCCTCACCCCGCAGGAGCGGCCTGGGGAAGCCCACACCACAGCGCGTGCCACCGGCCAAGCCCCTTTCGCCACCATGACCAGGGCGCGGGGCCGGCACAGTGGCCTCGAGTAGGCAGTGACCGCTGTGCGGGCCCATCTGAGGGACACCACGAGTCCAGGCAGGGGCCAGTGCCCCAGAGCAGGGCAGGGCCGGCCCAAGGCTGCCCAGAGTCAGGCTCAGCGCCAGACAGGAGCGGGGCCTGCGGGGCCCCCTGGGGCGCGGACCACGAGGCCAGCCCCAGCCTCCCGCTGCGCCGGCCACAGCCATTCCCGTGTGACCATCTCCCCTGCCTCCCCTGTCGGCAGGAGGAACTGCCGACTCGGCGCCTCTCCCCGGCGCGGGTGGGGCCTGGTTCCCGGGGACGGGGGCGGGAGCCCCCACGCCAGCATCAATCAGGCCGAGACGCATCCTTTAATTTAGGTCCAGGCGCCCAGCTGGGCAGGCAGATAAGAGGCACAGGGCGGGGGTGCTGCCACCACAGGAGTTATGGCTGCTAAGAGGGTGTCCCAAGACAAAGAGACCCGGGGGCCGCATCCTCCCTGCAGAGGCAGGGGGAGGTGCTGGGGAGGTGGCGGGCGGCTTCAGGGCACACGTGCTGCTGGCCCGGGGACTAGGCTGGACACGGGGCCACACGCGCCCATGCAGGGAGTGTCCAGTGAGTCCCCCCAGATAGAGGGGCGCAGACCCCTGCAAGCTCCAGAAGCCACAACCAGGGACCCCAAGCCACTCCTCCTCTGGGGCCCCGGCTCAGAGTGGGGTGACCTGCTGGGGCTCCCCTGCAGCCCAGGACAGCACCCAATGTGCTGCCTGCTAACTTGGGGCACACACCTGGCGCCCCAGCGACGACCCTACTGCAGAGTGGCACCCCCTGCTGTCCCCCAGCTCAGCGTACTTGTGACATCAGCGCCCACAACAGCCAGGGGGCGCAGGTTGGGCGAGCAGAAGGCGGCGAACCTGCGTGAGTCCACCTTGGTCACCCGGTTGCCCCGGAACAGCTGGTTCTGGAAGAACAGGCAGACCTGCGGCGGGGGGACGGCAGCTCAGTGCTGGGGAGCCCAGCCGCCCCCACCCCCCGGCCATCAGTGGGTCCCAGTCCTGCCAGCTGCCTGTGGGGCCTGGGGAGGGCTGGGCAGGGGCTGGCCAGTGAGGGCACCACTGTCCAGCTGCCCTTTGTTCCCTCCTCAGGGAGCCCCTAGGCCCTGCTCGGGAGGAGGGGCTGCTGGGCGCCCCAGCTTGCAAGCCCCCCAAGGGCTGCCGCGGGGCCGGACACAGGCCTTGGGGGCCCGCGTGTGAGGGCGGGTGAGCGCCGGCTCCGGCGCATGATCTGCGGGCCGCGAGGGCCGCCTCGGCACAGCGTATGCCGACCCGCCCCGCCCAGAGGACACGCGCCGCGGTGGCCGCCCCCTGCACGCCCCAGCCTCGACGCCCCACCACCGCCGCTGGGCCCGGGAAGCTACCTCGGGGATGACGTACAGGCCGGCCATGAGCAGGGCCCCCAGCAGGTTCTCCCGGCCGTCGCTCCACAGCGCGTGGATGGGCACCTGCGAGCGAGGGCGCCGAGGTGCTGAGGCCCAGCCGAGGGCGGAGCGAGGGTGGGATCCCGGCCCCTCCCAGCCGGCAGGTCTCAGCCCCCGGGCTCAGAGGGTCTGGGCGGAGCCCGATCCCCCCCACCCCCAGAGTGCCAGGCCAGACGTGACGCCGGCACCCTGGGGAGGGCAGGCGGCCAGGCCCACGTGGGGCGGACAGGGCCTGCAGGCCCTCTGAGCACCCCCACCAAGCGCTTCGGAGGCAGGCCCTAGTGGGACCCCGCGTCCCCTGCTGCCTCTCCTCAAGCCCAGCTCTTTTCTAGGACATTCCACCTGCCTTGGCTTGGGGTGGTGCTGGGTGGGGTGACAGAGGAGGGTGGCATAGGCCCCGGCCCCCAAGGACAGGTCTGATGGGGCCGCGGTGGGAGGAAAGGCGGGCAGGACAGGCCCTGAGCGCATGGGCAGAGCAGAGGCTGCCTCGGGAGCTGCAGGACAGCGCAGGCACCCGGGGGCCCCCGGTCCCGACACGCTGACCCGCCCTGAGGCCTCGGGACCCTCCCCCACGTGCGGGGCTACCTGGGCGCCGGTGAGGACGACAGTCTTCCGCAGGTTCTCCAGCACGAAGGACAGCACGGAGGCGGCAAAGGCCATGGTGTCAGTGCCGTGGATCACCACAAAGCCGTGGTACTGGTCGTAGTGGCTCTGTGGGGGAGGTGCGCTCAGGTGGGCCTGGCCCCGCCACTCGGGCCTCCTCCCGCCCAGGGCCGGGCCCCGCCCCTGCCAGGGAGCGAAGGCAAAGGGGCCAGAAGCAGCAGGAGGGGTGTGGGGGGCCTGGTCACCTGCTGGCCAGGAAAGGGAGCCCCGCGGGGGCCCACCCCGCCCCGCGACGGCTTCCCTGCCTGCTGTGAGCCATGACACCCCTCAGGGCACCAGGAATGGGGTCTCTGGACACCCCCAGAATACGGTTGCCCCTTCTACATCTCAGGGCGGCATCTCCCCAGGCGATGCCCACTCAGGGCACCCGAGAACACTGGTCTGGGGGTGGGGCCACCCCAGAGCTCAGTGTAGGGTCCTGGGTGCCCCACCTGCAGGGCAGCGGAGCTGCAGGGGCCGTGGGCAAAGCCATGCTGGGAGGCTGCTAAGACCGGACCTGGGCAGGTGGGCACACGGGGGCAGGGCCCACCAGGTCCTGCCAAGCCAAGGCACTGCCGCGGCCCCACACTCCCCACCCGCCGGCCCCCTGGCAGCAGTGGGGTGGCTTCACCGGGCTGCCCTCCGGCCACCACCTCCCAAGGGCAGCCAGGCCGCATCAGCCGGGTTTGACTCAGGCTGTAGCTGTGGGGAGCAGAGCTCTGAGGGCCCCCAGACACCCCCCTCCCCCACACAATACCAGGCCACGCTGGGTCTGAACTGCAGAGGTGAGCTGCAGGGCGGGCAGGGGCGCCCTCTGCCGGCCACACGGGGCTCAGCGCAGCAGGTCTTGGGCCGGCCGGCAGGACAGCTGACCCGGCACTTGGCACAGCGCACTGGTCACACCAGGAGACCGCCTGGACCGGGGTCAGAGACCACGCACCTGCCCGGGGCAGCCAGTGGCCCCATGTGGGGGCACAGGGGCCAGACTCAAGGTGGTGAACTGTCCCAGCTGCTCACAATGAGGGGACAGACATGTGAGCCTGTCCCTGCAGCTGCCAGAGAAGGGGGCCGTGATGATGAAGCCCAGGGGAGCAGGGCGTCTTGAGGGGGGCGGGTGAGAATGGGCCTAGAGTTGTGGGAGGCCCCAGCCAGCGGAGGCAGCACAGGGTCAGCTGTGCAGGGCGGGGGGTGGACAGGATAGAGCGAAAAGCTGACAGAGGCCGGCGCCGGCTCACAGAGCGTGAGGCGTCCATGTGCTGCGCTCACTGTAAGCTCCGAACCCCGTGGGAAGTCTGCGTCCTCCTCTGGGCCAGAAGCCCCACAACCGCAGGGCGGGTGTGAGGTGGGCAGAGGACACGGAACCAGGCTCATCAGTCTCCGGGACGCATGGCAGGTCCTCGCCCAGGCTGCCAACTGGGTCAAGCAGACCACGAACAACCAGGGCGCCTGTCCCTGAGCTCCTTTGCCAAAAGTGGACACTGCCCACACCTCAGCTTGCACTGGCGAGGGGCTTCCGAAACTCTGCAGCAGAAGTGACCCAAGGGCTCTGCACACTCCTGAAGTGACCATTCCCCGAAGCTCCCACGGTCTGGCAGGCAAAGCCCACATGGACCCCAGGGCCCTTGCTCCGAGTGGGGCGCAGCGCCCTGCCGGCCCCACCTGCTCTCCGGTCCTCCGGCCCTGCCCACACTGCAGCCCCGCCCACTCCCTGCAGCCCCATCCCCGAGTCCCGGGGCCGCCTCCCCCCCCCCCCCACCTCGATGGTCTGGGCAATCTGCACCCACTCGGCGATGGTCATGTCGCTGGAGTCGAAGAGCGGCTGGCACTCCAGCACGGTGTAGACAATCCTCTGGTCGCCGCTGGCAGGCCTGGGAGGTGGGAGGCCAGATCCCGCTCTGTCCCCCGGGCGGTCCTGTGCCCCTCGGGAGCGGCCGAGCCCCTGCACCCAGGGACCCCCGGGCCGCACCTGCCCATATACCCTCAGCACCCTGAGTCCTCGGCCTGGCTTCCCCTCCAGCTGCCGTCCCCAGGGGCAGGGACAATGATCCAGGAGGGGCCAGTGAGGGACGGGACGGGCTGTTTCCCTGCAGGTCACTCAGAATTCTAGGAGTGAGCTGGGCCCAGCCCTCCCTGACCGAGATGACCCTGGGGGAGGATGGCCCAGGAGGTCAGCGACCAGGAGGGCGGTTGGGGCCCGGCCTCCCAGCTGTGAAGGGCAGTGGGCACCTGGCCCAGAGTAGGGAGCCACGGCCGCCTGGGGGCCGCCCGCCTCTCGGGCTGGGCGCAGCCCTGTGTGGCCAGGCCCCAGGCCTGCAGTCCCCAAGGCAGCAGGAGGCCAAAAGCCCTGAAGGGCCAGGTCTAAAACGGTGGCCGTGGGAGGGATGCAAGTGAGGAGCCGGGCTGCACCCACTGCGGAAGCACCAAAAACCAAGCCACCCACGGCTGGCCGGGGCAGCCCAGGCCTGGAGGTGCCCGCCTTGGGATGGCCCCCCAGCAGCTGGCTGCTCGCCGCCCCACACCCCGCCTCCGGAGCCACACTCACGGCAGCACCAGGGTGTCCTCGGGGAGCCCACGGGCCTGGGCGTGCTCCTTGTCATGGAACATGGGCAGTGTCCTCAGGACGGCGGCCAGGCCCCTCCCGGGGACGAGCACTGCGGGGGGCAGGGGGTCGGCACTCATGGCAGGGCCGGATGGGGGGTGGGGCCAGGTGAGCTCTGTCAGGCTGGACAGACGGGCTGCAGCTGCCCAGGACCCGGCCACGGGGGCACAGCCGCCCTCTCCCGTCCCCTCCCCGGGTGGGGGGATGCGACCCGCTGCAGGCTCAGAGGGCGGTGCTGGGACTCGGCTCCACGCGCGTCCAACTGTTTCCCCGCTGCCCAGCGGCCGCTTGCGGCCTCTCCCGCTGCCTGCCGCGCACGCCTGGCCGCCTCCCCTCATCTCTCCTGCCTTCGATTCAGAGAAGCAGGACCCCCGGAAGGGCGCAGGACAGTGGGTCTCAGACTAAGGTCGGTGCCCTTGGTCTGGCCGGTGGGGCCTCTGCTGTGCAAGGTCACCTGGAAGGTGACACTTTCTCAGGCTCCAGGCTGTGAACATGGACGCCCTTGGGGGCAGCGACTGCCCGCCACAGTGGGCATGGGTGCAGAAACTGGGGTGGGGGTGGGCCGGGACCGGTGTGGTGGGACCCCACCCCGGCCTCCCCTCCCTTGATCTCCATTGCTTCGCAGGGGACCCCGAGGGCCCTGGCTCAGCCCCGGCGCAGCGCCCTCGGGAACCCAGAGCCCCTCACCCCCTCGGTGTGGACACGTGCGGTCCCTCTCGGGCCACCTCCTCCGCAGGTAGGGCGGGTCTTCCCCACCCCTGCCCACGCCTGGCCTGGCGCTCTGCTCTCCCCTGTGCGTGCCAGGAGGCGGGCTCAGGGGGACACGGGCAGGCCCGGCCGCCAGGAGGAGTCTCGGGCAGCTGGGCCTCAGCTGGCCGAGGATTCACGACGTCCCCTGACACGTGCCCCCTGACCCGGCAGACAGCGGGCTGGGCCTGGGGTGTCAGCTGCCATTGTGACCTCTACCTTCCGTGTCTGAGCCTGGACAGCGTTGGGGGTGGCCCTGTGCCCTGCAGGTCAGGTCACAGCAGGCGAGAAACGCTGCCGACAGCAGCAATCCAAGCGGCTTTGCCGCTGCCGCCCCGCCCGCACGGCCTGCGCGCTGCACGGGGCAGGTTAATCATTGACGCCTGTTCCCACCGGACATCCCGGAGGCTGGGCCTGGAGTCCCGAGTTCAACACCCCCCTGGCCCGAGGCCCTCGGGGCACACGCCCCACCTGCAGGGCTGCCCCGGTGCTAAACGGTCAACCCAACCCCAGTGCCCCCCGAGAGCTGCCCCCGCCCCCCCAGAGCAGACTGTGGGCACCCAGCAAGGACGGGACGGTCTTCCTGGGTCTCCCCGGTCCTGGCTTCCGGGCATGGGGCCCCTCCTCACACCCAGCGCCCGGAGCAGAATCCAAGGGCCTGGGAAGACTCGACCCCCCCCACCCCAGCTTTCCCCATCCACCTTCGAGGCATGGGACTTTGAGGCCTCTCTCCAGGGGCCGGTGGGAGCACAGGACGTGGGGCAGGTGGCGTGGAGCCCACCACGTCTTCACAGCCCAGACCCTCAAGGCCAAGTGTGGCGCCCGATGGGATGGTGCCAACCACGGCCAGGTCCAGAGAGACCGGTCCCAGGGCCGCCCCTGCACTCTGCCCTGCCCCGGGGGCTCCCCAGTCCTTGCTGCCCCCACCAGAGCCACCGGGCCCAGGGCCGCGCCGAGAAGCCCACAGGCACAGCGCTGTGCGGAGCTGTGGGTCTCCAGGCAGGGGGGCCGGCACCTGAGGCAGCGCGGGGAGGGTGCAGGGCACGCGGGTGGGGTGCCAGCCGCGGTGGGGAGGGAGGGCTGGGGGAGCAAGGGCTGGCGCAGCTGCAGAGGGGCTGGCAGGGGTGAGTGCGCCAGCGCCCCTGTGGCCCTGGGACCACCCCCTGGAGAGGGCTGGGGGTGGGGACGGCAGGAGGGAGGGACTCAGGAAGGGGCTGAGGCTGTGTGGGGTGCCAGGGAGGGGGCGCCCCACAGCCCAGGACCGATTTCCCGCTTGCCCAGGCACCCAGGCACGCCAGAAAGTTCTAGGTGCCGTGTGCAGGGTCCTCTCCCACTTCTGGGGATGCCCCCCAGACTGGGGTCCTCCCTGAAGGGCTCAGCCCTCGCGGGCGGCTCGCCGGCCTGGCCTGCCGCCCCCGTGGGGCCCGCGCCAGGGCAAGGACGCGCGGCCGGGAGCCCCAAGCCCCCAGCCCCAAAGCCCCTCCTAGGGTCGCAGGCCAAGCGCGCCAGGCCCAGGGCCGGGGCGGCTGCAGCGGGGCGCCCCGGCCCGCCCCCCGCCCGCCCCCCGCCCGGGGGAGGGGTCGTCCAGGCGCTGCCGGCCCCGCGCCGCCCGCCTCACCGCCGCGCTCGCTCCGCATGCCGATGGTGCCGCCGGTGTAGACGGCCAGGAGCCGCCGCTCGGGCCCCGCCGCGCGCGCCATGCCCGCAGGCGTCAGGGGCCGGGCGCCGCGGGCCGGACTGGCGAGCGCGGCGGGGCGCGGAGGGCACGGGGCGGGCCGGGGCGGGGCGGGCCGGGGCGGCCGCTGGAGCCGGGGGTCCCGCCCCGGGGCCGCGAGCCGGCCCTGGCCGGGCGCACCTGGGCGGGGCCTGGCGAGCGGCTGCACCGGGGCGGGCCGGGCCGGGCCGGGCCGGGCCGGGCCGGGCGCGCGAGGGGCGCGGCCCGCCGAAGGCCACGTGCGGAGGCGCCGAGGACCCCGAGGCCGAGGACCCCGCCGCGCCCCGCTGGCCACTCGCGGCGGGCGGCCGAGCCCGGGGCGCCGCCCGCAGCCCTGGGGCGAGGCCCTTGCGCTTCACTCCGGGCGGGGCGGGCGGGGCGGGCGGGGCGGGCGGGGCGGCAGCCCGGGGCGCGGCTCGGGGCACCCCCTGCAGGGCCGCATTCCATTGCTGCCGCCCGGCTAACACGCAAAAGCACTCCCTGGGGCCGGGCGAAGGCCTGGCGGGCCTCCCCCAGCCGGGTCTGTGCCCACATCCTCCGCCGCCCCTCACTGGCCCTGCGCCTCCGCACCCGCCAGCCTCCACAGTCGCCTTGAAGTGCTGGGTCAGGGCTTCCACAGGGGAAGTTGGGGGACACCACTTAGCAACCCCCAGAAAGCCCGGTGTTCCCTACATCTGCCATCCGCAGCCTATGGCGGGTCCCGTGTCTCTCCACCCGCCCCTGCTCCTCCTGGGAAGGAAGGAAGGGGCAGTTCAAGCACACCCGTCACCCACCTGCCCAACTCCCAGGAAGTGGGGTTTGGGGCCAGGCAGGCCTCCCTGGGGATCCCAAGAGTGGCTTCTCTTGGGGAGCTCTGAGCCCCCAATTCCACCATCAAACTGGGCAGCAGGGGTGGCGGCAGGTGGGGCTGGTCTGTAATGCGGCAGCCCAGGTCTCCGGCATCGTCTGTGCACCTGGCATGCCCAGTGCGGGCGGGCCCCAGACCACCGTCCTCCGTGGGGGTAGGAAGAGGCAGAACCCCGCCATCTGAGGGGAGTGCGGGGGGTGGCAAGGGCACCAGCTCTGCCTCCAGAGAGCTGAGGTTTCAGCTGAGCCTAAGTGCGAGGAGGCTGCCCAGGTCTGCCCCAGGGCGCCCAGGAGGCTGATGGAGGGGGACACTGGTGAGGCTGCGGCCCCGGTAAGACCCGCACGAGGCCAGCCCGCACGGGCTGCGCAGGATGTCTCCATCTGACGGCTGCGCGGAGGCGGGCAGGAGGGCGCAGGCGGGGCCGCGTCGGGGCTGGCGGGACACAGGTGTGCCGCCAGGGGTGGACTCTCCTCCGCCTCGCCCCACGCCTTTCCCTGCGGACGGGCTCCCGTGGGCACTTGCTGGGGCCTGGGGCCTGCCCGACCCCAGCCTCGTCCTGCCATCGGTGGACGCTGTCGGCAGTAAGAGCGTGGACGAACCGATCGGGGTGTTTCTACAATGTAAGATGAGAACAAGAACCGGCCCGGCACGACAGCGGGGCTCGCGCCTCCCACACCGCGGCGGCCCGGCAGAACAGCGCCCTGAGAAGGGGCGGGCGGCTGCGGGGCAGGGCGGCCAGAAGGCACCATGACAGGAAACGGGGGGCAGGAAAATCGTGACGTAATTTTGCCCGATATCATCATGTGGTTCTTCTGTTGGTGCGGTTTGATCCACATGCATGAAAGCACCCTGCCGCCCGGAGTCTCACTTGGCCACGGGGCATGGCCCCTGCCGCTCCGCGTGCATGAGGACGCGTGTCCCGCCGGGAAGGGGCGTTCCGCCGCCGTCTGTGAGGCCCTCGGACCAGCGTAAGACTCGCTCTGGCCCACGGCGCTGTTCGTGGCTGTGTGGGGCACCGGCGCCATCGCCAGCTGCCGGCTCTCAGCTCCGCCGCGGCACCGGGTGTCCCGTCCCTGCCACACACGCGTCTGGGCTGTGGCGCCTCGGAGCAGCCCTCGAGCGCCGCGCGCCCGTTCGAGGGGCCGTCTCCCGGCTGGTGAGGCACAGCTGCTCCTGCTGCGTCAGCTTTTGCTTGTGGGACTGTCTTCCAAGTCTTTACGCTGCGCCTTTCTCAGTAAGAGCAGCTTCCTGTGAACAAGGGAAGACGGGACTGGGCTTTGAGACCCACTCGGCACGTTACATGTCAAATTGATGAATTCAAGCCACTTCCATTGAAGGTGATTATCGAGACACCCAAATTGCCACTTGGTCTTTTTTGGGCATTTTTATGATGTTTTTTGACACCACCTTCCTTTTGCTGTCTTTGGCTTTCATTTCTGTTGTCTAAGGTGTCACTTCCAGTTTTACTTGGAGGCCACACTGGGGTCCGTGTGTGACCCCCGAATGGTGCCTTCTCAAGCCTTTCCGAGCCCCTCCCCCCACCCCAGGGTGCGGTGCTGGCGCCTAGGCCTTCAGCGCTGAGCGATCCCAAGTCTAAGGCCACTTTATGATGACCCAAACCAACGCAGCGTACGCACCTACCGGAGCTCTTACCTAACAACTCCCGAGGTCTTCACACCCCGGGTTGGAGCAGGTCTTCTTTCTTGGCTTGTCACATCCCATCGAAACCCCCAACCACCTTTGGTCTCGGCTGCCTTTCCTACTAGTGACAGCTCGCAGGCTACTGCTAGTGAAGCTTCACATCTTGCGAGAAACTGCAGTTCCGAGGGATGCACCGGGTGGCGGTGTGATCGCTCCCGCGGTCTCTTCTCCACTGACCTGGAAACCAGCAGCCCTGGGGCGCAAGGAGCAGCTTAAGAAAGTGCTCTGGGGGATGGGGGCCGCCTCCTGGTTGCAGAGTTTCTCTGACATCCCTGTGCTGCTGCTGAGATTATCACGACTTCTTCCTCTTTTGCTAAACAGCACTCTTCAGGTGAATGTTCTGAGACCATTAAAAGACAAACCCAGAAAGAGCCGGAGCACGCCTGAGGCTGGGTGGCTTCTGAGCAGCTGGGGGGTCCCACCCAGACCACAGGCTGTCAATGCATGCCAGGGGTTGGGGAGCTGGGCCCTGCTGCATCTTCTGTACCCCGAGAAGCAGAGCTGTAACTGCACCAAACACTGATGTGCTTGCGTCCTGGTGATGTGGACTTTGCGACATCGACACTGCACGCAGGTACCCACAACCCAGATGTCCTCCACTGCCGCCTTCCTCACAGCTGACCGGGGGCCATGGCCTCCTGCCATGCGCAGCCTCTAGCCACGCGTTTTTTCAGACGTCTTTTCTGTCCTCCCTACGCAGTGCTTATGGGAGACGCAGGCATGCCCCTGCCGTGGGACAGCCAGAAGCCTGAAACAATGATTGTTTCCAGAAGTTTCCATCTTGGCCAGGTTATGTGATTGTGGTGTGTAATTGCTGGCAGCATCACCTAAAGCTGTTGTTCAAGTCCAGGTAAAACCCGAGACTCCTACCTCACCCCAGTCACACAGCATCTCACCGTGGGGTGTGTTCTGAGACACGGGTCTCAGGGGGGTCTCGCCCTCACAGGAGCAACTGTGCTGTGCTCAGAGAGACGCTGCCGCCACGACACAGCTTGGCCAGGGCCCACCGTCCTGCACGCAGCCTGGCATTGGCCAAAGGCCGGATGCAGCCCCTAACATGCGAAACCAGGTCTGTAAAGGCCGCACCACTCCCCCCAGGCCCAGTGGTCATTCCGAGGCGCTTCTCCATGGGGTCAAACATGCATCCACACGAAGGTGAACGCAACGCCATGGCTCTGCTGTGACGCCCACACCTACGATGGGGTGATAGTGACAGCTAAGTTGCGTGAGAGCGGAGGGGGTGGGGGGATAGCTGGGCACAGCGACAGGCCCAGTGCAGGACCCGGCCCAGCTTGTCACCATGAGGGACCGTGAAGGGTCCGCTCTGGAGCAGTGCGCCCCACGTGCCGGTGTTGGGAGAAGCTTCCAGCCCCAGGCAGGGGCGCCTGCATCACCAGGAGGAGGCAGAGGAGCACCTGCCCGAGGGGTGGCGTGGGGCTTGGCCCTCAGGGCCTTCGTTCTGTGATGCCAGCGCACTGTGCCCGGCAGAAAGAAACGACATCTGATGCCCATGTGACCACTGGCCATGTACACGAAGGAGGCCATGGCTTCCAAGGCACCCAGCAACCCTGTGAAGTCAGTTGGCACAGCGGGATCTGCTCCCAAAGGCAACCAGCGCGTGCTGGACTGGTGTTCTCTGGGGTTGGAGCTGGAGAAGCAAACCGGTCTCTCTGCCTCTTACCAGCCTTTTGGTGCCATTTGCTGATAATCTGTGACCATCCGTGGACACTGACAAGCAGACAACCAGGGCCGCTCTGCCCGCCGCTGCCCCATCCCATCAGCTCGCCTGTCGCAGACTCAGCAGACACTGCAAAGCTGGGGCAGCACCGGCGGCCACACTTCCCATCACAGACGTGCTCCCCGCAAAGGCAGGCGCACCTCAACCTCACAGCACTGCGGATGGACTGCAGCCTGGAGAAGTCCCGTGTGCGGCCCTTGGCCCAGCGTCCAAGGCTGGATGTGTCCCCGAGGCTGGGCGAGGCGACTTGGCAATGCAGCCAGGCACAAGCTGTGTGATGGCAACGAGACAGCGTGGCCACTGCTGGCCGGCAAAAGCCCTGCACCTGGCCGGGCCCCAGTTCACAGAGCCCCCAGCCCCGTCAGGGCCCCGCTCCCGCCCACCACCAGTGAGCACACACAGCCCCGCCCAGGCCCATCACGCCGCATCTCTGAGGCGGGGGCCTGTAAGAGGTGACTTTTAAAGTCAGTTTCGTGAACATGGCGTGTTAGACTGAAACACATTTTAAAACCTTCTCTGACTAAAAATGGTCAGAAACAGAAACTTAATCTAACACTTTATTGTCTGAACAGCCACACGACTTGCCAGGCAACCTCTCTGCTTTCCAACATGTGGACTCACGGGAAAATCTAAAAAATACAGACTGGAAACGAGTTTAACCAAAATTAAGTATCTTCCCTCAGGGAAGAAAATTAGAGAATGCCCCGGAGTTGTTTAAAAAAACACAGCTTTTCCCTGGTGGTGAATCAGGCAGCCTGGTCTCCCTAGGGGCCAGGCTTCACCCCTGGGGGTGGGGGAGCAGATGAGCACCGCCCCGGCGTGCTCCGCGGCCAGCTGCCGGCACTCACCTTAACAGAGGCAACGCAAGAGAGAGCTTGTTTCCAAATAAAGTCTTCTTTCAAACAATTTTCCCCCAAATCTTTAATACAGTGATCTCCGTTTCCAGAAGGACTGGACGGTCCCATCCTTCCCACCCAAACAGAAACCCGCCCCCCACTGAAGAGAAAGCAGCGCCGGAGAAGGCCTGGCAGGCGCAGCGCCGTGGACAAAGCCGTCCTCTTCCACGCCCGCCCCCTGGCGGCTCAGGTGCCCAGCACGACCAGCTTGTGCAGCTGGTAGAGGAAGGTGCTCCTGCCGTGGCTGCCCTCCGGCTCCACCTGCTCCATGACCAGCTTTGGGTCAACCTGGTGGGCGAGGGACAGTCAGTGCCACGGTGGCCTGGGCGGGCAGCCCGGTGGCCCCTCAAACTCACCTGGTTCCACTCATACGGCCTCTCGTGCCACTTGGGGGCAATTTTCTCTCTTGGCTTCCACTGACAGAACAAACTAAAAGTTCAAAAGAGAAAATTAAGACATTTTAAGTATCTGTTAGTCATGAAAACACTGCTGTGGCTTTTTTGGAAAGACTTAAATTCTACACCCGTTCCCTCAGAAACGCGACTGACAGTCTTTAAAGGTCAAAGATGATCAGTTGTGATCAGAGAATATTCTAATCCACTGTGCACTCAGAACAGCAAAAATGCAGGAGAGCAGCCCCAGACAGGCCTCCCCCATGCCCGCAGCACCATGAGGCCAACTCCGGGCCCCGGGGACATTGCCTGTCACCCAGCTCAAGCTGCCATGACCAGCTGCAAAGACCTTCCGCTAGAAAGGCAGAGGGAGAATCTTAACAAGGAGAAAACAGGCCTGCCACTCCCTGCTGCCCAGCAACCCTGTAACAGACCAAGTTGTCAAAAGGAGCTTCTGGAAGGCCTGGGAAGGCCGCTGGGCGGGACTTGCTGCTTCATGCGCACTGCTGGCGGCACAGGAGCTCTCCCTGGGCAGCTCGTACCCATGCCCACCGCTGGCACCCCATGCCTAGTTTTCAGGAAAAACTCTTGAGAACAGCGAAGAAACAAGAACACGGGACCAGCCCCCGGGGGCGGGGGACGAGGGCCACCATGCCCTGTCTTGGCAGTGCCGAGGGCCACACGGAGGAGCCAGACAGACGTGCTCAGCTGAGAAGCGGGAGGGCAAGGAAAGAGACTAAGTGAGGACGGCAGAGCCAGGGACAGCACCGTGGCACGGGGAGCAACAGAGAGCGCGGCAGGGGCAGCGCTGAAGACACCAGACGCCGATGGGAGCTAAGCAGGCAGGCGGCAGGACCCCAGCCACACAGCACACCGTGGGCGGCCTGGGTGCTGCACGACCCCCCACCCCCAGCAGGGCTCACGCAGGCACCTAGCAGCAGAGCCCTGGCGGCAGCCAGAGCGAGAGACGCAGCAGGGGGAGCAGCCTGGTGGGGCAGCCCCCAGTGGGGCCCCGCAGACGGGCCTGCTGCCCAGGGAGGGGAGGGCGCCCCAGGCCGAGTCTTGGAGCTTCAGAAGAGGGCACTCAGGCAGGCGAAGCGCCACCCCAGAGATATGCGTCACCCCCTGAAACAAGGACACCTTGAAAACACCGAGCATCGGTAAAACAAAGCGACCCGCTCTGAAGGCGCCTGGGAGCCGCTTCCCAGGAGCAGGGACGGGGAAAGGCCCAGCTCCTTGTCGTGAGGCGGCCAGGGCTCCGCAGGGAAGGCGAGCACCGGGGCCCCGGCCTGGCTGCGCAGTGAGTCACGGTGCCGGCTGGGGGGTGCCAGGGTGTGGCTGGGGAATTGGGGGGCTGCTCCGCTCTGGCTGGGTGCGGGTCCTGTTTTCACCACTTTCTCCCGACGCCGCGCAGAGGCTGCCCCTTATCACTTTCAGGCAAAAATGCCACAGGGACTAGGATGGCGCTGGTGGTGCCTGGCGCTCCCTGGGAGTGGACCTCGCTTTCGTCTGTTGGGTCTGAGCCCACCCTCCTCACGGCTGGGCCATATTTTTTGGGGGGATGCCCAGGGCCTTAGAGCACAGGCGTGCCATTCTGAGGTCTCCTTCCAGGGATGCCAGGAGCCTGAGCACCACGGTGGAGCGCCAATCAGAACGCACACCTGAGGCAGAAGGGCGGCTCTGGGGCAGGGCCCAGCAGGTCAAAGCGCCTGGCTGCGCCCTCGGCGGGGTCTTGCTCTAACAAGGGCACCTGCCCTGGGGGTGGCAGCTGGGTTTGAGTCCAGCAAGTGTGGAGAGGGAGCCCTGCCGGCCCTGCCCTCTGCCCTGGGGGAGGCACAAGGGGGCCAAACCCCCACAAGACAGTTGTCTCCACCCGCAGGCCCCACATTTGGGGGGCGCGCTGCACACCATGTCTCCCAACGCCACGCTCAGGCCACCAAGAGAGCCCCTTGTCAGGCTCCCCTCAAGTCAGCCGGTCGCCCACGGTGCAGCGCCTGCTCCCCACGCCACCCATAGTCGCTCCGTGAGGACCGGCCCACACGCCCCTCCAGGACCTGTGCCCCGACTCACCCGAGCAGCTTCTGGCGGGCGCTGTCCTGTAGCTGCGCGATCCTCTCCGGCCCCAGGCACCGCAGCCCATTGGCCCCATCGCACACCAGCTTGTTCACCGCGGCCCGGAGAATGTTGATCTGTGGAGAAGAGGGCCGTGGGTCTCCTGCACCAGGCAGCCGCGCCCCAGCCCAGGGGGCCGACTCCCAGCGGCCAGCGACAGGCAAGAGGTGATCCAAGCAGCATGGGCAGCAGCAGCAACCTCTGTCCTGACTTAGAGAAACAGGAATAAGAGACAGAACGAAAGAGACTAAGGTGGACACGCGAGCAAGCCAGGCGGGTGGGAACCCAGGCGCTGCGAGGACAGACCCACCACCGGCACTGCCTCCCCGGGCCTGCCCCGCCCAGGGCTGCTTGGCCGTCACCACCCAGGGCCGGGCTCATCCAGGTTGAACAGCGAAGGCCCCACCCCCAACAATGCTGGTTTGCTGCTCAAGCTCTGGCCAGCTCTGGCCAGGGGCAGCCCCAGCCTTGGGTTCCTGGGCTCCCAAGGCTCCAGGCTCATCCTGCATCTTCAGGGCACAGCCTGGCCCCGGGACAATTCAGTGTGGGCGCCTGGCTTGTCCACCACTGTGTCGTGCTGTGTCGTCGTCATGGCCACAAGTCCACCCACAGGGGCCCTGTGGAGCCAGGCCAGGCCACCTGCCGGCCTTCCCTGCTGTCTCTGCGGCCCCGCCCCAGCGGCAGCCCCGGCGCCCATGTCGCCACCAGCTCATTTCCCAGGATGCAAGAGCAGCGCCAGGCCCTAGGGAGCAGCGTCCAGTCACTTCCTACCACCCGCAGCCTCGCCGCCCTCAGAGCACAGCTCCTGCACCCCGGGCCCCCCATGACTCGTGCACATGCCCTGCCACCACCTCCGTCGTGGCCACCCTGCCTCCAGGGACAGTGTACGCTGCTACGGCCCCGCTGCAGGCGCCGGCGCCTCTGCTCTCAAGCCCCTCCCATGGGGCCGTGGCGGCCACCACACCACACCCCACCCCTCACGGCCACTGACCTGTTTTCTGCCTGAGGCCGCCCTCTCCACCCTGTCACGCGCAGGCTCGGGCCTCCGGGTGGCCCCTGGGTCTGGGCCGCAGCACAGCTGGGCTGGATGGCTGACCCGCGCCGACGGCGGAGCCTCGCCATGTGTCCTGCCTTTCCCATAAGTTTTTTCAGAGCAAAAGCTGGTTTCTACAACCCAACTGACCAATCGTTCTTTCGTATACTATCTGCTTCCGGGGCTGCACCTACAGCCAGCCCGCGGCCACCAGCACTGTCTGTGGCATCTCTTCCAGACACCCCACAGTTGAGGCTTCACAGGTAGGTCTGAGCCCTAAGAAGTACTCTCAGGCGCTTGGTCTCCTTGCTGGAAAGTTAAGATTGAGGTTATGTCCAGAATACAACGTGCAGGAACGTTCCGCAACTGTGCCCGGCCAGAGGCCAGGATGGGAGCCCACAATGCCAGGCCACCCGCCCCACGTCAGGGGAGGAGCCGGAGCGAAGTGCCCGGCTTGCGCCGCACAGGATGCTGGTCAAGGGGCAGCCTCGTTTCTCACTTCGTAAAACGCAATAAAACTGAGCGAGAACAGGAGAAAAGAAAAGCAGTGACAAAACAGACCGCGACAACGCACATGACCCCGCCAGCCTGCCGTGCTGGCATCTCAACACGCCTCGCCCTGTGCTGAGCCGCCGAGCAGAGCTTACCGCCAGCCCCGGGGCCTCCTCCGCCAGGCCTCCCAGCATGCGCCCGCGGACTGGTCAGGGGTCCTGACTTGGAGCGAGGCTCGGTTGAGATCCTCAGGGACCCCACCGCCCTGTGAGATCCTGGGGCCTGGAGACCCTGAAGAAGGCCAGAGCTGGGCCCGGAGTGCACTGCCATCTGCGGAGCCATCCCCCACAGGAAGGGGTGCCACAGGCTGAGGGGCACGGCAGTGTGCACAGTGATGTCCATGTGTCTGTCACGGAGCCATATGCAGCGCGGTCCCCCCGCCGGCCAAGCTGGCCTTACCTCCACGATGTCCTCCACGCCGAACTGGACGTCAAAAGCCAGCTCAATGTCGTGCTCTGGCAGGATGGGGGTCTGCGTGGTGGAGTTCCAGCCCAAGCCGCAGAGGACGCCGGTATAGCAGGCTCCACCCCGGTCCACCCTAGACAGGAAATTGGAAAAAGCTGCCAACTCGAGCCTGCACCCGCTGCTGCGGAAGCCGAAGACCCAGACGGTGACATCAGCCCAAGTTCTGCCAAGCAGGACGAGCGCCCGATTGCACGGCTGCTCCCGGCTTGAGGCAGCAGAGCACAGTCCACGCGGGTCAGCCCCGGTTCGCACTGCTTCACGGTAACCCAAGGGCAGGGTCCTTCACCACAGCCTCCCCGCTCAGCCCCTTCTGGGCGCTAACTCCTTACGGACAAGAGGTGGTGGGTGTCTGTTCATGGCCGTGAGGCCGCCTGAGGCCGTGTCCTGCTGGCCCATCCCCAAAAAAACCCACTGGTGTGTGCCCTGAATCCTCGCCACCTCGCTGGGACGCCTGCTGCCCAACCTCCCGCGCCCGCTACCTGTTCCCAGTGCCTCGGCACGCGGCCTACCGCCACCCGGGCCCAGGCTGCCAGCGAGCCCCACCGAGACCCAGGCACGGCCGGTGCCTACCCCCTACCCCAGACCAGCCACCCTGCATGCAGCAGGCACGGCAGCTTCCCTCATGGTCCCGGCAGCCTGCGTCCCCGCTTCAGGGCTTCCAGGGGTCCAGCTGCGTTCTGAGCACCCCTGGGCCTGCAGGCACAGCTCTGGGGACTCCTCCCCCAGGTCGTGGCCGCCCGCACCAAGGAGCAGGGTTCCTCCAGCGGGAGCCTCCACCCCCACCCCGGCAGCATCTTGGGCCCAGGCACCGGGTGGAACGCCAGTGCCATGGCCAGAGTGGCCCAGGGCAGCTGCGAGAGGAGAGACCAGATGCTCAGGGAAACACGTTTTGAAACACGGGGTTCTGAGCCTGAGTGACCAAGCCCCGCCCCGGCATGCACGGCGGCTGGCGCTCCCTACTGCTCACCTGCGCCCACGCGGGGTTTTCTTCACAGACCCAAAGACGCACACGCTGGAAGCGACCTCGAGGGCCTGTGCACGGCAGTCCCGCAGCCACCCCCTCCCCGTACGACAGCGCCGGCCATGGTCCCCATCCACGCGAGCCTTTCCAAGGCAGACGACCGACCGGCACCAAAATCAGGAACCGCTACGTCGCCCTGATGAGGGGCTGGCAGCACTGGCTGACAGCGGAGGCCCAGCGCGGCCCCGTCAGGGGAGCAGTGCTTGCTGGTTCTGCCTGGACCTCGAGTCGGTGTGAGGCTGCTGGGCATGGGTGCGGTTCTCGTCTAGGCATCCCCGCTGCTCCCGGGCACCCAAGACACAGAAAACAAGACCCTGAAACGAGCTCACATGCCTATACGTGACGCATACCTGGGTCACCCCGGCAACTGCAGAGGCCGCACCAGAGGCCACAGCGCCCACGGGACAGGGCGGCGAGGGGGCGAGTCTAGCGGAGGAGGGGCGTGGACCAGCAATGCTGCAGGCATCCCAGACGTGCCCCAGTAACGCAAGGGCCAGCCCTGCAGGCTCCTGGTGGGTGCCAACATGCAGACGTGTCCTGAAGAGGACAGGCTGGTCCTGAGGAAGCGCCCAAGGGAGTCAGAGCCGGCACCCTCGACCCCGCACTAAGCTGGGACACACCGCCCCTGCCTGGCCCCGCCATGGCCAGCTCTGGTCCAGCAGGACCCACCCCCACACGGTCAGCTGGGACAGCGGCCACGCATCTGTCACCAGCGGGGTGGTGCACCCCTCGCCCCTGTGACTCAGCGGTGGCCCTGCTTACAGATGGGGCCACCTGAGCGGGGACCTGCCGCGGGGGGCGGAGGGCCAGCCCAGTGTGTCCACAGCCAGCACCCTCCCTGGCCCCAGAGGGTCCTCCTCCCAACGCCCCACACACTTCCAGGCCCAGAAGCCACCTCTTGTCACGCGCAGTCCTCCTGGGCTGTTAAAATACAGGGTACAGATGACATTTTCTTTTTGGCCACAAAACAGTGCATGAACGCGCTCGAGCAACTCAATGAGCAGGCCCGTGGCAACCACGTCTGTCAGAGATGGTGCCGGCAGCAGCTCTGAGCCACGTGCCGTTGGGCAAGGGGTGGTCACACCCCGCGGACGCCAGCCACACACACGCGAGGCATGCGGCTTCTTCATAGACAATGACGGAGCTGCTCCTGCTCTCGGGACATGGAGCTGGGCACCCCGCCACCACCTTGAAGGCCCAGCTGGCCCGGCAGAGCCAGCAGCCGGCGGCACAGAGGCCAGCATCATGGAGCATGGACGGCTGCTCCGTCTCCATTCCTCACGTATGGCACAGAAAGGGCTGCTTGGGGGTCATTTGCTCCGTGGCCATGACAGCCAGGACAGTGAAGAGCAAGCTTTCCCTTGCAAGTGTCCCTCGGAGCCTTCCTGACAGCCGTCTGGGGTTTCCCACCTCCTCCCCTTCTGAGGCTGGAGAGCTACCGGCACAGCAGGCCCTGAAACCCCCCAAGGCCACATCCCCATGACCTAGTTCTCAGGCCACAGCTACCCAAGCCGGGCAGGAGGCACCCCTGAGGTTCTCAGAGGCATGAACGCTGCCAGGAAGCGCCCCCTCCCTTCCCTGTTGTGATGGGGGAGCCCTGGAGAAGGGGCAGCAAGAGAAGCAACAGGCCTGGGTGGGCCTGGGCGGGACAGAAAGAGGGGCAGAGGGAGCCCCAGCTCCTGCCTGTCAGCTGCGCCCCCTGGTGGAGGCCCCGCGAGCGGCCAGGCGTGCTGCTTGCGGAGGGGACACCTACTTCCTTTTCATTCTCACGTTGAAGCGAAATGTAAGCCCCTCCTCCTGCGTCTTCCTTCCCTCCCACCGACTCCTCCATCTGCAAGGCCCACTGACGGGCGACCACACAGGGGGACGCCCACGGCGGGGGTTGGGGGGGCAGCACACCCATGACCCAGCAGGCCCCCAGCACGGTCTGCTCTGACACGCCGTCCTACTCTCCACCGAGGCTGAACACTTGGGGTGCGAGGAAACAGCATCCCCAGATCAAACGTCTCTTTCATCTTCCAGTTACTCAAAACTGATGACCACTGACTGCACAAACCAAGAAATGACTCCCACACTGGCCAGCACGGTGCTGGGCGACTCCCCGCTGCAGGGTCCTGGGGAGTCTCACGGGGCCTCGTGGGTCACCCGCGCCTGCCGCCTCGCTTCCTCGGGAAGGTGGGCTTTAAGCACCAACACTGCACCCTTCGCCGAGTGCCCATGACAGAAGAAAGCACACACAACTGTCTCTGCTGCTGGAAACAACACGCAATGTTCTGAAACTGCGACAGCAGGTTCTGGGCCACCGCGGGGCAGAGCCCAGTCAGCACAGGACACCCCACAGCAGCCTCCTGGGAACGGGCCCTGGCCAGCCAGAGGCCAGAACTTCCTCTCGCCCAGCGGCACGTGCACCTCGAAGACCAAAGCTTAGCCGGTGTCCAGCCCCTGCTGCCGCCGGGCCTGGCGCCCCCATAACCGGTGCCCCACCGGCTCCTACAAGGGCATGAGGAGGTCCACACCCCGGGGTCCGTGTCCTAGGAGCAGCCGCCGCCACTTCCACGCAAGCCGCCCAGTGGCAAGCTCCAGAGGCAAGTCCTCCGCCAGCGAGGGCAGCCTCCGCGGCCTGACCACAGCCCTGGGTAGACCCTGCGCCGGGCAGCTGTAGACCCACATACCTCAGCTCCATCACGGGGGCGAAGAGCATGCTGAGCAGCGCGGGGAGGCCGGGCACGTGTGGCATCAGTGAGGTCTCTCTCAGCAGCATGGTGGACCCTGCCAGAGCAACGAGGGAGGAGCCTGTCACTGCGCCCCAGACACCCCGTCTATGAGCGCGCCCGCTGCACCAGGCACAGTGCTGAGGACAGAAGCCCTGCTCCTGGGGCAGTGCCCTGTCTGGTGAGTCCTCCCGCTAGCCCATCGGGGCTCCAGGGCAGGGCCTTCTGTGCTCCGGGCGGTACAGTGACTGGACCCAGGGCAGCGCCTTGCCCTTGCGGGCAGAAGCAGCATGGGGGGAAGGGGCACCCCAGGGCCATGGGGACCTCCTCCTGGGCTCCAGGACGGCGCCCAGGGCAGCCGCTCACCGGTGGCGTTGACGGACAGCGAGGCGGCGACCAGCATCCTCTGGTGCAGGTCCTCGGGGCTGTCGCTGATGACCACGGAGTTGATGCTCTCCTTCTCGATCCACACGCACCTGAGGGGGGCCACCAGCTGCCTGACGGGCCTCCCAGTCTACCCACACTGGGCAGCCTCCCTCCGCCCTTCCTCGTGGTCCTGCTCCCCGGGCTGGCTGGGGCATATCCAGAGGGCACAGCCCGGCCTCCTGCCCTCGGGCAGGCGCTGTCCCAGAGGCCCCCCCTCGTCCCTGCTCACACTATTCTGGTGCCGACCGGAAGCCCCTGGGGAGCTCACGTAGGGCTTCTGCCTCTGCCCCACCACCTGTGGGCAGGCCCTGAGGTGGGCTCCTGCCCCAGCACCCGCCACCCCCACCCAAGAGCACACTTCGCGGGTGCGCCGTCCGGCTCCAGTGGCTGCAGGCTCACGTTGCCAAGGTGGGCTGAGCACTGCCCGGCCTGAGCCCCAGGCGTGGCCACTGCTGCGGGGTACGTCTCTGAGATGGTGGGGCTCCCCGTAAGAGAAAGGATGATTTTAAGTGCACAGCTGCCTTCCAAAGAGTCTGACACGCGCCAGTGAAGCCCCCCAGCCCGCGCAGCGTGGCAGGCATGCTCCCCGCCCTCGGTCTCGCCGCGCTCCCCGCGAGTGCAGACTGCTGAATTCAGCGCCGGCTTGTCCCCGCGCCCAGACCCCAGCCCGGGCTTCGCCTCCCTCCCCGCCTGTCCCTGGGCTGCGTCCTCAGCCGCCCTCCGGCTCTGGCTTCTTCACCACAGAAGCCCCGAGGTGGGTCGGCCCCCGGATGCTCACAAGGTTCCCAGGCCCAGACAGCGACTCTGGCGTGAGGCGGGGGTCTCAGACCTGGGGCTGGGGCGAGCCGGGCAGAGGGTGCCCGTCCCCGCTCCCGCAGGGAGCCCGAAGCGGGCAGCGGGGGCGCAGCCTTACCTGAACTTGGACACGCGGGTCAGGCTGTGGCACTTGAGCTCGTAGGGGTTGAAGGGGCCGTGGAGGATGGCCTGCGGGCAAGGACACCGCCCGTCACCGCGCAGCCGCGCCTCGCCCGTCTTTACACTCCCGAGCCCATGGGGAAAAAGTCCCGTCACGGTCACAAGTCTCCCGGGTGAGCAAGAAGCAGCCTCTAAAGAGCGTGTTTCTGGAAGCCAGCCCCCTCCGCCAAGGTTTGCTAACACTCTCCAATAACGCGTTTTTAAGAAACTCTTTGGCCAACAAAGGAAGCAGCGCCAGATCCCGCGGGGCCGCATCGTTCTTTCACACGCGCCAGCCATGGGCTGGGGAGGCGGCCGGGGCCCCTGGACAGGGAGGGCGCCACCACCCCGCGTGTCCCCCGCCAGGCTGGGCAGACACAGCGCCACCTTTGGAAGGAGGGCTGAGGGACAGGCACCCCCAGGCCTTGTCTTAATAAACAGGCTCCGCAGGAGAAAGTAACAGCGTTGGAGCCAGGAGCGAAAAACCACCGAGACTTGCGGCTTCACGTGTTAAACTGAGCTCCCGGCCACGAGCGCCGGCCACCTTGCAGCGCGGCGCGCCCAGCCGGTTGGACGCGAGGCTGTCCAGCAGGAGGCGGATCAGGCCCCTCTCGTCGTCCTTCACAGGGGACGGCGCGGACAGGCTGGCCGTGCTGTCTGCTGATTTGGAAAAGAGACCCTTGAGAACTTCGTGGCTTTGCTGGACAAAACAAGAAAAGATGGTTTTGCCAGAAGAAAAGATTGCACTGAAAGCACCTTACTCAAACTGCCCCCCAAGCTATTTCAGGGCATGGCCTTATTCTCCCTCGACCTCCAGATCCCTGGAGTATCAGGGTACTTTCATCAGGCCCTTTGAAAAGCCAACACAGAAAGGAGTCAGGCCCACCCACGGCGGGCCACGCATCAGACACCCCCGCCGCCGCCACCAGGAGCGGGACAGCCGTAGCAGCTGAGACAGCCGCAGAGGCGGTTTTAGGAAAGCACTTGCAAAGCTGTGCAGTGTCTGAAGCGACTGGAAAAATACTTCATCACTTCCATTGAGGAGCTACATCCTGAAATCCATTTTCTTTTAAAGTTCGCGTACAGAACACCTGCAATCTAGCCCTCGCTCCGAGAAGGAACCGACAAGACACGACAACACAAGAGTGAGACGCAATGACGGTGCGGCCGCCCCACACCCCCTCCCCTCCCCACAGGAAGGTGCCCCAGGCCAGCCCCGCGCACCTTGGACTCGTAGGACTCCTCGGCCAGCTCAGCGTGGCCCTCCCTGACCAGCACGTCCCTGATGCTGGTGGCGTCCTGGGGTCCCGAGCAGCGGAATGCGTCCACGTGCAGCACGCCGTGCACCACCGAGAAGACCCTCACCAGCAGAGCACAGCCGCGCACCAGGGAGCAGAAGCGCCGGCTGGCCCCGCAGCTCCAGCGCGCTCCGCACACCAGCGACCGGGCTGACGGGCGCATCTTGCAGATCCTGAACTCGAGCGCCTGCGACAGACACGTGCGCTGAGCCGGTCTGGCCGCACCACCTGGGGTGGGCTCCGGCAGGGCCCACTGGCACGCCTACCAGCACAGCCCACCACACCCGGCACCTCACAGGCCTGCACACCCGGGTGGGGGCTTCCTAGGTAAGGAGGCTTGGCTCTGCTTTTAAATGACAAAACCAGTTTAGAGTAATCTCTAGACCGTCTTTCCCTTGGATGGTGTGTCCCCAGCCCACCTAACTTCTGTTCTGGTTTCAATCTAACCAGGAACCACCAAGGGGACTAGAAAACCCTGCTACGCAGAACAACGTTCCTCTAAGCCCAACACCCGCAGGAGTCTCCACAGCACTGCGGTGCTGGGGAAAAAGCAGAGGCCACACTTCGCTCAGGTGACAAGTCCCTTCCACTCAGGCCGGAGCTGGGGGCAGACACCGGCTGCAGCACTGCTCAGCCCCGACGCCCAGCCCTCGGGAGCGGCTCCACCTCACCTGAAAAGGGAGCTCGAGGAACTGGCAGGGAAGCTCCATCAGGAGGGCGAGGTCAACGTGGGCTCTGTTGCCGTAGTCCACGAAGAAAACCTGGGGAGGCAGGCGCCTGAAGCGGGGCTGGGCGCCACGGCAGCCATGCACCCGGGGATTGGGCCGGTGGGGGCGCCAGCTTTAGTCCACATGCCTCTGGGGGAGTGACCAGGCTACTGTGCAACCTGCTGTCTTATATGTGATTCCCCTTAATGGGAGAAAAAATAAATGCGCGTCTACGTTTGTCTTGCTTCTGCCCGAGCTGTCTGTGACTGAAAACATACCTCGGCAGAGTTTCCAGAGACGTAGAGGATCTGAGCCCGGAAGTAGCTCTCTTTATCAAAGTCTTCAAAGGGAGCCAGACAGACCAAGTCGGGATGGGGGTGAACGGGCAGAGGTGCCAGCTCCAGCTGGTTTATCTTAGCAGTGAGTCTCTTCAGGATCTCTGAGTTTTTTGCATCGATCCTGTACCCCCAGAAGTGCCCCACCTCGACCACCTGGCGGGGGGAGCAGCAGTGTGCAGGAGCCGAGCATACCCGCTGCCACCACCGCGACTCGGGGACGGCGCACGTTCCGCCGCGTGGCACCATGCCCGGGGGCGGCCAAAGGGGACGAAGCTGAGGTGCGGGGCAGGTCGCAGAGGCAATTCCGCAAGGTTGGCTACTGAGCCCACGCATCAAAGCCAGAGCCCAGGCCTAGAAAGACCCCCGCAGAGAGAGAGAAGGTCCCCCAAGGAGAAAGGGCGAAGCCGGTGCTGCTAGGATGGACCGACCCTGCAGGGAGCGGCCAGGCTGGGTCAGGCCAGGCCCAGAAGCTGACTGTGCAGAGAGGCAGGGACCACGCGGTCTGGATAAGTATTTTTATCAAGTTCCATAAAGACGCAGAGTTTTGTTTACCTTTTTTTAAACTACGCTGTTAGCACATTGTTTGGGGGCCCATCCCGCTGACAGAGGCCTCCAACGCTGGGCTGCTAGGGTTGTGAAGGCCCTCCCTCCAGCTTTGCGGCCCCACTGGGCCCTGGGGGAGCAGCTCCTTGATGGGGCCCACACCTGCCTCCCCGGCTGGCTCTTATGCCACCCCCTTGTGCCCGCAGCAGACTGGGCTCTGAGGTCAGTCCTCAGAATGCCAGGAGAAAGGAGCCCCAGGGACCCACTGAGCCCTGACTGTAAGAAAGCAGTGCCATCTGCCCGGCCACCTGGACGTCACAGTGCCACCTCTGAGGAGGAGCGGTAGCTTTCCCAGACAGTGGCCCTTTGGATGGCAGCTGGAGGTGCGCACTTCAGCTGAAATCATTTTGGGCAAGAGCTGTGCCCTGAGGGACACCAGCGCCAACATGTGCTGATGCGGGCTGACTCACAAAGGCGTTGGCCATGATACCCATTAGCACTCTTACATGTACCTCATGGCTAGCCTGGCATTCTGAGGGCTATACTTTGACCCTGGAATAAACAGGCCTTGTTCCTGTCCCCACATGGTGCAGGTTAACAGGCACAGGGGCTAGCGTACCCACCAGGTGCACCTGCTGTGCGTCAGCTCCTGGCACACATACAACAGAGCTGCGCCGGCCCCAGGGGAGACACCCAGCGGCTGCCTTCCGTGCTCACCTCCGTGACGTCCACTGTCAGCAGGAGGTCCGTGACGGTCTGGGATCTGTCCAGGGCATTAAACGAGACCTGTATGGGGTCCACCGTCTGCTTCTGGAAGTCCACATTCACCCTATTTAACAGAGTTGAAAACCAGGACAGGAGAGCCAGGGTCGCACAAGAGACACCACACACTGAATTGCTGCCTGTGCCACTGTGCTCCTAAGGAAAGACCATCATGATAGAAGCCCTGGGGGCTTGGGGAGTTCCCCGGGGCCATGACGGGGCCTGTGGCCTGGTGGTGGCAGGTATGGTGACAGAGTCTGAGCAGGTAGGACCCTGAACCTCTAAGTCACACACGGTGTTGCAAACCAGTGTCACCCCAGTAAGATTAAAAAAATAAAAGCTGGCCAATGCCAGTTTACCCAAAGGAAAAACCCTACCCCAGGGGTGACACACTAGGCGCCCCTTTTGGGGGTGTACTGTGGAGGTGAGAGCCCCCGCCCTCTGCATGCACACTGGAGCCGGGACTTGGTGCCGCCTGACCCCACACGGGGCCCACCCTGGGGGCACATGACTCTGGCCCCTGGAAACACCGTTCCCCACTTAAAGTATTAAGACAGCAGGGGCCGGGCTCCAGGCAGGGAGTGGGGCCTGCAGATGGAGCTGCCTCCCGTCACCCTGCTCCACGCCAAGTGGAGAGGCCAGGCCTGCACTGCGCTGCCCGCCAGGCCCTCTGGTCACGCAGAGCGGCCGGGCGGCAGCGGGAGGCCAGGCTCCCACACACGTGCAACTGTGCTCCCATGGCTGCAGCTACGAGAACAAGCGGCAACTCAGAACACGCAAAAGAAAAGTCAGGCTGGCTCACCTGTGCCCAACAGCTGCTGGGCACCACTGGGAACACATCCCTGCGCGGGTTCCAACCCCCGCCGGGCACAGCACCTGACTCGACAGCACCTCCCGCGCCAGCCCGTCCTCCAGGCACTGGGGGGCCAGGGGAGCGCTGACAGACAGGGAGCGCGACACCCCATGGGCAGCTAGCAGGGGCCTGAGCTGAAGGGGCAGCCCCCGCCCCCACCCCCACCGGGGCTGGACGGCCCGCCAAGTCCCTGACCGCCTCCTGCTCTGCGGAGAACGAGACTCCACATTCCACTCTGCTCGCAGGGCACCACCACTCTACGGGGAGGGCAGCTGGGAGGTGGCGCCCGCAGCTGGACAACGGGCTGCCACTGGCAGGAAGGAGAAACGCGCTCGGCGAGGCCAGGGTGTACAGCAGGGAGATGAGGCCAGAGGCTGCGGGGGAGGCCCCAGTACCTGGTGTTCCGGAGCTTGGACACCGAGCCTCCCTGCACCTTCCCCTCGATCTCCTCTGCGGAGTGGACGCTGAGCTCCAGGGACACCTTCAGCTGCGACATCTTGACGGCCATGTACACCGCAGGCAGCGTCTTGACGCGCTCAGTCGGGCTCCGCGAGAACTCCACGAAGGCCCTGCCACACATGCAGGACGGGGTGAGCCCAGCCCCGGGGCCGCCTGGCCGCGCACTAGCGTCAAGGTCCTCAGAGCGCCGGCGACCCTGGCTGTGTAACCCGCCAGCACGCAGCCCTCGTCTGGGGAAGGTGACCCACTCCGGCCAAAGTGACAATGACGCGGCATCAGCTCCGCAAGCAGCGCCCGCGGCATGCAGACGGCACCCAGCCACGCGGCGTGGCACTACAAGCCCCCGTCCCCGCCATGCCAAGACGAGGCGGGGCTCCGGCTTGCTCCTGCTTGGCTGTGAGACAAAGCGGAGACCGAGAAACCCTGCCAGGGAGCAGGCCGCGCTCGGGTGCTCCCCCCAAATACGCGCCCCCTTACCCCTGGCGGTCCTGCCCAGCCCAAGTGCCCAGGGCAGAGGGAGGCAGCGTCAGGGGCCCGAGCCCCACTCACGACAGACGCAGCCTTCGGTGCCCTCCCGTTCCGGCCGTGAAGTGTGTGTTCCCATGCCCTCCGCCTACCGCACACGCCCCACAGCAGCCTCTCCCTGGTCGCTCCGTGCACGGACCATGTACCGTTGCTTCTGAGACAACACTAAAGGGGGGGGCTGGGCCACGAGAGGACAGGGGCCAGGGCCAGGTGGAAGACAGGTCAGGGAACAAGAGGGTTTATTTAAAAAACAGGGGAAGCCAAGAGTCCTCCAGGCCACCGGCTAGACCTCACTCCAGAGAGCGTCCACAGCGTCCATGCGACCTATACAAAAGGTCAAAATGGTGCCGTCCTGTCCACAAGAGCCCGGAGCAGTGGCCGAGACCTGACTCACCGCAGCTGGAGGTGCTTGCAGTGAGGGGGAGGGGCGAGATGCCCCAGCCACAGTCTGAGGGCTGGGCCAGACAGCACTGGACACTGGGCCAAACAGCAACAGGTAGCAGAGGGGAGGTGGTGCCGGACAAGGAACAGCCCTCAGAGGTGACCCGGACACAGCGCGCTGGTCACCCGTCAGCAGTGCTGGGTGGCACACGGCTCTGTGAGAGGCTGGCCCTCACCACCAGCTGTCGGCTGAGACGCCAGGTCCAAGGCCCGCTGCCCCTCTCGGGCGGGGGCAGGGCAGGCTGGCACAGGTGCAGCCCCAGCCTCGGCAGCAAGTACAGAGAGACAACACCTGACCCCACAATGGCCTCCTGTCCTGCGGTCAGCCCCAGCAGAACAGCACCCAAGCTGGGTTTTGCCCCAGACCTGCCCCACCTCGCCCCAGCTTTTCAGGCCCTGGGCCTGCCCCCCCTGGAGCTCTGCACAGGAACAGGCTCCCATTTTGAGGCTCAGAGAAAACCTTTGCGAACCCCTGGCCCCACCCAGGATCTTCCACTATTCCCGGAAGCCCCACAAGTGCCTCTCACAGAAGGCGGTGGCACACCACACTGCACACCAGTGGGCCCTGCGTGGCCCCAAAAGGATCACAGCCTTCACCCTCCCCACGGCCCCATAAGCCAGCTTGGCCTTTAAATGCTTGGCGTGGCCGCACGGAACCAGCACCGACACAGCCAGAAAACCCGTGGCTGGGCGTGGCCAAGCAGCAAGCACGCTGAGGAAAACTGAGACACTTAATAAGAGGTCCCGGAGAAAGGAGACAAGACACACACTCCATCCAGCGTGAGGACTGCAGGCTGCTATGACCTCAGCGTGGCCCAGGTTCCCACCGCGCAGGTCAGACTGAAACAGCATCTGCCCTGCCAGGCTGAGAACTGGCACGCAGGAGGAGGAGAGCTCAGCCGCACGGCCCAGCAGCTCAAGCAAGCCATTAGCCACGACAGACATTAAGAACTCGGCTCTTCGTTCTGCATTCGGACACCGAGGAAGCAGAGCTGGGTGCCGGGCCCGGGAGACTCGCCGCTATGCCAGGAGGCCGGGCCTGTGGGGCTGCTGTGCCGCACTGAAGAAGCTGGCAACGGCCACAGGGATGGATCATCACGCATGCGTGGGAACCACCCGCGTTGAAAATGAATTTAGGGGCCTCCCCTGGTGGCACAGTGGTTGAGAGCTGGATTGCAAGGCTGCCCGCAGCCTCTGCAGCGCCGGTTCGATCCCCGGCCACCGGGTGAGGGTCCCACATGGCGCATAGACCTCTCCTGCCGCCCACTGCTCCCCTCAGCAGTGTATTTCATCAGTCTGCCTGTTCTGTTCCCCACTCTGGCTCTGGTGAATTCTCTCTCCCTCCCACGCTTCTGACTGTACCCAGTGCTTGTATAAATAATTAAATAAATCTTTAAAAAAATTAAATGAATTTAGCAGCTCTATTGGAATTAACTCGCAGATGTTACTCCAAGAACAAGCATTAAGTACTGTTACACCGACAAAGTTTGTCACTTAAAATTTCAAAATGTTGGAGAAAAACACAACTCTGACAGTTAAGAACCAGCAGAAGCATCGACAGAGACCGCCTGCTCCGGCCCTGGGAGCACTCTGGCGATGGAACCGGCATGGTGCTGCGGCCGCCACTGCTCCACTGCTCTCTGGCGCGGCCTGGGCACGTGGTCTGGCAGCACTCGTCTCCCTGACACACTGAGGCCCTGTGCTCGGGCTGTCCCAGCAGATGAGCTGCTGAGGGCCACAGAGGCTGGTAAGTGGGCAGAAGACCTGGAAAGGGTGCTCCACCCTGGGTAGGCACGGCTGCTGCCCACTGGCCCCACTTTCTTTTTTTTCTTTTTTTTTTTTTTAATTATTTAATACTTTTTTTTATAGAGGCATGTTTTATTTATTTATTTGTTTGTTTGTTTTGTTTATGCAAGCACTGGGTACAGTCAGAAGCGCGGGAGGGTGAGAGAATTCACTAGAGCCAGAGCGGGGAGCAGAGCAGGCAGAAGGACCGAAGTACACTGCTGAGGGGAGCAGCGGGCGGCAGGAGAGGTCTGCGCGCCATGTGGGACCCTCCTCCGGTGGCCAGGGAGCAGCCGGGCATCGAACCCGCGCTGCAGAGGCTGCGGGCAGCTTCGCAACCCAGCGCTCAACCGCTGCGCCACCGGGGAGGCCCTGGCCCCACTTTCTTAGCCGCGCCTGGCAGAGAGGATACCTCACCACAGCATCGGGGCGTGGGCAGCCTGCTCGAACCCTGTGCCCACACTCGCTCAGCTCTGAGTCCGGCTCCAGGGTGGCAAGGGTTCACAGCATCCTCAGAGCTGCAGTTGCTGATGTCCACTTACTTTGTACCATCAAACACGATGGACTTGACCTGGCCGCACTGCCTGAAGAGCGACTGCAGCTGCTTGTAGTACAGGAAGCCGTAGGGAGGAAGGTGCTTCAGCTGCGGGCAGAGCACCGGGCAGTCAGGGCATAGGCGCAGGCCTCACGGGCACGCGCCGGAGTCAGGCCCACTGCCCCAGTCCACAGCACAGCCCAACTGAATTTAGATCTGACCTTGAAACTCAACAAAACCCTCTGGGCGACTGTAGTGGACAGTCACATCTGGGGCTATAGTCAAATGCTGCTCGTCAGCAGGGAGAGGCCTGCAACCCCTCAAGGTGGGAGGCCGCTGGTCAGTGCAGCCACAAACACTCTGCAGACGAGGCTGGCTGGGCCGCCAAGAACGCAGCGCTCACACAGGGGCGCACCAGGCAGGTGAGGGCGAAGCAGGGGCCACCCCAACACAGCATCTGAGGCTGGTGCCTCCCCCAACCTACCACAATGGTTGTCTTCGGGTCCCTGCCCGCCAGCTCCCGCACGGCCATCTCCTCATCAGGCTGCCCAAACGTGAAGTAGTTGGGGTAAAATGCGCCTGCCAGCACCACCTGCAAGGGAAGGCCACCTCGTGAAGCAGAGCCCCGCCGCGCCAAGACCCAGGCAATGCTCACCCTTGCACAAACCTGGGGAAGAGGCCGAGCCACGTGGCATCAAACTTCTGAGCCCAGGCGGTGGTGGGCAGGCTGTGCAGTGACCTCCCTGCACCCCCACTGCGGCCCCTTCCCAGGGCGAGCCCGGCCCCCAACGTCTGTGCAGGTCCACCCCAGCAGGACAGGGCACTGGTGCAGCGGCTGTGCCACACCCACGGCAGGTGCTCGGCTCAGAGCCCTTCCTTCACAGAAGGTGTGGCTAGACCCCACCTGGGGGACTCCTCGGCCTCTCAGCAACCGGACATCAGGAAAATGCTCCTTTCTGAACTGCCCCCTTATAGGGGTCTGCCATGTGACCCTCCCCACTCCGGGTTCCCGAGTGGCTGTCCACGCTGACCTGGCCACGGCACCCCAGTACAGTGGCGCCTCTAAAGAGGGGCGCTGCCTGCACCAGCTCTCCCCAGTAGTGCTCCCTTCCAGAAAGCACCAACATGGGTGCTGCTGCGTGCAGAGACAGCCGCAGAGGACACATCTCTGGATACCAGAGCACAGCGGGGAACCCCAACACTGGAGGACACATGGGGGGCGGGGCAGGAGAGGTGGTGCGCACCTGCAGGACGAAGCGCTGCTTGTGGCTGTAGTCCTGCGCCAGGGCCGGCCGCCGGGCCCCCACGTGCATGTTGAACTGCGAGACCCTGGTCTTCAGCTCCTCGTACAGCTCGGCCACCTGGAGACACCAGGAGAGCGCTCTTGCCCGCCTCGCACAGAAGCGCGGACCAGCGGGGGGCACAACAGGTTAAAATTCCCCACCTTTCTCCTCAAAAACACCTACATGGCATAACCGACAAACCGAGATTTGATCTCAAAACGAAATAGAAGAGACTCAGCATCTCGCAGAGTGTGAGACGCCGATTCAGGCCTGGGTGTCCACACCAGGACACCCCAATCACTGGCCAACTCCTGTGGTGACCTCGGAGCCTGTGGGCCCCTGGCTCAGAAAAGCGTCTTTGTGACCTGACAGCCTGGACACAACAAACGGTTCCCAGCAGTGGCGGGACGTGTGGCGGGGCCTCCCCGAGACAGGTAGTAACTGCCATCAGGTCACCCCGCAGCGCACGCAGAGACCCGCGCCCAGGCACAGAGGGCCAGCATGGGCACAGACATCCTCTCCCAAGGGCACAGTGGCCACCCAGGGCTGCAGGGCCAGCCAGCCACTGCACGCGCCCACAGCAGGGAGGGCTGGGGAGCTGCGCCCGCCCCTCCGAGGCGTCACCTCGCCCTCCAGCAGCAGGGACTACTCCCCAGTACGGTGGCCTTTCTAAGGTCTGGAGTCTTTCTGGCAAATCGCTGACTCTGAGGTGGCTCTGGGGACCCCTGAAGACACACATCCAGTCACCCAGCACGGAGCGGGCACAGCACACACACTCAGAGTGAGGAGGAGGGGTTCCTGACACTGTGCAAAGTTACACACAACATGTGAGCGTGTATTACACGTGATCATATGCCATGGGGCTAAGACACAGCATGACTTACATTCCACAGTGTGGGTCTGCTAGGCTTAGCGGCCTGTTCGGCCACCATTTCTGTTACCTGCGGGTCTGCATTCCCGCTCGAGTTCAGAACTGCCCTTCAATCAGTCATAAGGGCCCAACCCCACAGGTGCCTTTCAAATCCATCGCTGGCAGAAAGCGTGATCACCCTGGGAAGGGCGGGCCTCACAAGGTGTGACCGGGAACGCCCTGAGGGCTGATGACAGACGCATAAACTTACTCCCACTCCTGGCTCATACAGCACGGAAGTATGACTGGGAACTCCCGGAGGGCCTATGCATGACAAGGGACCCCAGAAGCTCATCAGTGGATGCCTTGTTAATAAGATTAGAACCAAGGCCGGGGCCTGGGGTCTGGTTTCGATTTCGACACTTGGTCATCAAGCTGGTAACAATTATCTGGTCAGCAGACTCGTGTCCCCCAGGCCTTAGGCAACATTCTGTAGTCGCACCCACCTTTTTCTCCTTGTCCTCCTACCCCACGTAACTGATGCTATGTGATCATTCTAGCAACACAAAGGCCAGGATTCTGCTTGCTCAGCAGCGTCCTGCACATGCAGCCTGCCCCACGATGCCTGTTTCTTTATCAGGGCGGTGCTACCAGCCCGACAGTGGATCATGCATTACATACTCACGTCACACTCAATATCTACTTCGATATAAAAACACCTCCATCAAAAGCATCAAACACACATGCTGACACAGCCGCGGAGACTCTAGGCCTGCGGGCGGCTCCCGGGCCTCACGGCTACCCGCACTGGGCCTGCACATGTGCGCCGGTGAGCCTGACCTGACTCAAGGCAGCGAAAACTCACCTCTCTAATCCTCTTGATTTGAATGTAATTCAGTCGTCCCCAGTCAAGTTCATCCTTTAAACACAGAAGAGCACGCCACCCGCTGTTAACACAGGTCAGCGCTGACCAGGCGCCGGCACAAGCCGGCCAAAGCGCAGCAAGGCTGACTCCATTCCGCACGGGGCAGCCGGAGGGCAGCACAGCCCGGGCTCCCGCTCACCCTCAGCCCTTCCAAGCTACTCATGATGGAGGGAGGATATACTTGATCTCTCACCCGCACCCCTAAAATTTTTTTTACTGTGGGCGAACAGACTGAGTTCTCTCAAGTCCATTATCTACAACTTAATTGGAACAGCAAAGAGGCGGCTTTCAGGCCCTTATTTTGGGGCAACATGCAGGCACGCTGGCCACAACCCCGCCCCGGCCAGCATGCCCCTGGAAGCAGCCACCTGCCCCAGAGGCCGCCATGTGTCCCAGAGGCCTCTCTGGTGGTGTCTGTGCCAGCCTCTGCACCAGGCCAGTGTCCCCAAAGAGCCTCCCAGGTGTCCACCAGGAATCACAGGACACCTGGTCCACCTGGGGTGGCTCGGCTCCCCCTCCTGGCCTACCTTGGGGTGGCGCAGCTCTCCCCTCTGCCGGCAAGTCTGCCATGCCTGGAAACAGAGCAGAGCGTCAGGTACCTGGCTGACAACAGCCTTCTTTTAAGTTTGGCTTTGGCCAGAGAAAACACACAGCTTTCATTTTTTCAGTCAGCGTCATAAAACTGGATCCCACCCCCTCTACTCCTCCCGGGGGTGTGACGGGCCCCAGAACCCCCCAGAGGGGCGCAGAGGCCACTCACCCTGAAGGCCTCCACAAGCGCGATGCAGTCACTCCTGCTGTTGCCAGAGAAACTGACCTTGTTCCTGCGGACAGAGCGGGCGTCACCGACCCCGGACGGCGGAGCGGCGTCCCCGCGTGAGCGTGACATACCTATACCCATCGAGGTGCTGCCGGAAAGGCATCGCAAAAAAATTCTTCAAAGACAGAGCAGCAGCTGAAAGGAGGAGAGCAGAGGGTGCGGGTGAGGTGCTGGGTGCGTGCCCCCCCACCCCCGCCCCCCGCCGGCCTCGGCAGCGCGCACCGATGATGAGACACTCCTCCAGGCAGCCGAAGGCGTGGCCCAGCACGATGAGCTTGCCCAGCTGCAGGCTGACAGGGAGCTGGGCCAGCACCCTCCCCAGGAAGGTCAGGTCGCCGTCGTGGGGGCTCTCGTCTCCTCTCTGCCCGCTGACCGCCAGGGCGCCGACCTGACGGAGCACAGGGCGCTCTTAGTGCACGGGGCCGCCACACCCCCGGGCCGGTGTGGACGGCAGGGTGTGACGACCGAATTTCGGTCAGTGAGGTGCTGAAAGACAGCCGGGTCGACTCTCACAGGGCGGACATACTAGTTTGCTTTCAGGAACTCGGAACACAGCTGATAATTTCCGATAAAAAAGTGACACATGGATGACACTCAGGACGCCCCACAGAGCCGCTGACCTCACACCTCCGCGCTCCAGAGTGCTGGCCTCGGCCCAGCAACCCTCGCGGGCTCACAGAGGCGACACTAACCTGGCGCGGGGCCTTTCTCAACCTGGCAGATGTGTCTCCCCTCACGCAAACCCAGGTGGAAATCAAACTAAAGGGCAAAGACCGAGGCACCCCACTTTGAGGGCCAGAAATACAAAGTCCTCTGCCCACTGACATGGGGACCCCACAGGCGCGCCCGGCCAGGGGGTCAGCGTCGACCCCCTAGGGCACGGAGCTTTCCAGCAAGGAGCAAGCAGGAGAGGAAGGATCGGGGGAGCAGGAGCCTGAGCGAGCGGCAGCGGCACAGACCCGAGAGGCGGCGCAGGGCCCCGGCGCCCGAGACAGAGGCGGCAGTGAGAGGGGCGCAAGCTGCAGCAAGACAGCCAGCTAAGCAAGGGGCGCGGAGCCCGGTCAACACACCTGCTCCCTATACACAGCACCCCGCACCCAGCACCCTGCACATAGCACCCAGCACCTTATACACAGCAACCCACACACAGCACCCAGCTCACAGCACCCAGTGCTAGCACCCTGCACACGGTACTCAGCACCCCCAAGAAATGCTGACAACATCCTAAACACTGCGAAGAGCTCTGCATTTATCTCAAACTTTAAAAACATACCCCCAAAACCCCAGCTTTTCCCAACACAAGCACCTGGAGCCCGTCCTACCTCCTTGAGCAGCAGGATGGTGCGCTCGATGTCCCCCAGGCTGGGCGGGGAGAGGGCCGTGGCCAGCAGAGCCCTTGGCTCGCCCATGTCCAGTAACTTCACCTTCAGTATCGTGCTTCCTAAGGGGCAGCGCTGGAAAGAGCAGGGGTGAGACACGTGCTGACCGCCTCCACTGACCCGTCCGCCCAGCGCTCCGGGGGAGGGCCGCGGGCAGGGAGGGAGGACGGGGCAGGCGGGAGGGCGACAGGAAGGACAGTGGCGGGGAGGAGGGCGGGGCGGGCGCCACCTGTTAACCACAGAGCCAGGGCGGCCCGAACGGGGGCAGGGCCCCCCCGCCCCCCTCCCCACGCGCGAGCCGCGCTGCAAGGGGAGACAGTCGGTGACTCTTCCGTGACGGGGACCCTCAGGTCTGAGCGCCTGCGCGGGAAGGGGCACGAGGTCTCACCAGCATCTCGGGGACGACGTGGTCGGGGATGCAGTTGTCCCAGAAGTCCCTGTGGACCAGTCGGTAGCAGTACCCTCTGGACACTCGCCCCGCGCGGCCTTCCGAAGGGGAGACAACCAAACCCCACGGCGTGAGCGCCTCCAGCGCCGGCTCCACGCCACACCCAGGTGCGCAGCGGCTGCCGTGGACGTGCTTCTCGCTGCCTGGCCCCGCGGGAGGCAGCACAGCATCGGGCCATGGGCGAGCACCGCCCTTTACAGCTGCAGTGACCACTACAGGCCCATTTCCAGAGGCCCTGGACACCACGTGCAGTGGAAGCTGACACCGTAAACCCCGTACCCTCCTGCCAACACCCCCGCGCCAGGAACACAAGAGCAGAGCGGGGCTGGGGCGCCCACAGAGGACACGGGGGGGGGGGGCGGGTGTTGGGAGACAGTGGCTACCACCTCCTTCTCCTGTGTTCTCTGTGCCGCACCACTGCAGGGCCCTGCCAGACGACAGCTCCAGGCCACGTGACTCCACGCCACGCTCAGCAGCAGGCCCGGCCCACAGAGCCCCGGGCGGGCACAGCTCTCCTAGGACCACATGTGGGGCACAGCCCCGGCTCCGGAGCCGCGCCGCAGGGCCTGGTAAGCACCCAGCTTTAAGGGAACGGGCAGCCCGGAGGCGCCGTCCTCCCTGTGCAGTCAGGAAGGAGGAGCGGCCTGAACTCCTGCCTGTCCACGCCCCACTATGCAGTTCCTGCCCCACTATGCAGTTCCTGCCCCACCAGAGGGAGAGAGGGAGAAGGGGCAGCCAAAGTGACCTTGCCAGTCACGCAGCCCCTCAAGGGCCTCCCGGACAGCAGGGAAGGGGGCGGGGCCACCAAGGCCACAAGCTGTGCGCTCCACCCACACGCCCCGAGCCACGCTGTGAGGACGGATGGGGGCTCTGACCACGTGGGGGACACAGCCCTGCACACACACACAGGGACTGCCTGGCTCGGTGCAGATGGCGGGTGGGGGCAGGGCCCCAGGGCTGCGGGGCTACCTTGGCAACCTCCCTTAGGAAGGTTTCCCAGTCACTGGAGCCCCCCACACACAGAAGGCCACAGGACACAGCCCCACGCCGCAGCGCCCCCAAGCCGACCACGGCAGCTCTGCGCACTCAGTCCCCTGCTCCCATGTTCAGTGGGGAGAACATGGGTGTGCACACGCTGAGGCTCCACGCCAGGTGTCTCCACAGCAGGGAGCAGCGCTCACGCCTCAGCCCCTCCCAGGGAAGCCGCCTTGGGAGAGCAACTGCCTGGTGGTTAAGCCGCGGCCAGAGCCAGACTTCTGGCTTCAAACCCCAGCCCCCTGCCCAGTGGACTCTGTCTTGGCTGCACCCGAGACAGCGTGGGTGCCAGGAGGGAACGCACAGCCCGGTGGTGACCGCGATGGCCCGTGGCTCTGCTTCCGACTCGGCTGCCTGCGGCCAGCGGCTTCCTGCCCAAGCCTGCCTGTCCTCCCCAGTCCTCTCGCAAAGCTAAGCCAGGCCTCAGGCCACACCAAGAACACCGCCTGGGCAACCTCCCCCGGCCTGGCACTGCCCAGCAAACCCCAGCCTCTACCAGCTTGTCCAGCCCAGGACCAGCCACCAAGAAGGAGCAGCTCTCGGGAGGAAATCAGCGCGAGGAGGACCAACGTCACACGCGGCCACTTGGCTCCCATGACTGTTCTCCAAAATGTTTAAAGTTGCCATGACGGCGACAAGCGCCATTTACGTGCAAGACGACGGGCCCGTTCGGGGCCTGGGCAGTGGGGCGTGGCGGGCGGAGGCCTACCAGCCGCTTACCTTTCCTCTGCTCGCAGCTGGTCTTCGAGGCCCAGCTCAGCCGCAGACTCTGATAATTCGTGTCCTCATCGCAAACCAGAGTTCTAGTCAAACAAAAATCTATAACTGTCATTTAAAAAAAGGAATGTAAGCGCCAGGCTAACAAGAAAAGCGTGAGCAACAGTCACAGCAAGACAAGCGCACGAGGAGCAGTCCAGGAGGGTGCCCGCCCATCACCCAGGACGGGGCGCAGTACACGCTGCTTAGAGGGGCTCGGCGCACGCCCCGTGTCTGCGCTGCATCCAGAGCGCCTGTGTTTGCCCGGGAACCTGGGGGCGTAGCGGGGTGGCCAGAGAAGCGCCTCAGCCTGGGCTGGCACCTGGACAGTCCAGGTCCCCAAAGGGTAACCCACCAACCCTCCCTGCGACTTCCCTCCTGAACTCCCCTGCTGCTTCACTGTGCGCACCCTCCCCTCCTGGCTTCCCAGGTAACAGGACGCCCCCGCAAATCTGCAGGAGCCACCCCCAGAGCCAGGAACTCCTCTCCCAGCGACCCCCTCTCCACCCACTTCACAGCTGCTTCCCTGGAAGACTCGGTCAGCACCAGAGGCAGCGACCCCCCCCCAACCCGGTTTCCAGCAGACCTCCAGAACCAGAACCACCTGCCAAGCACAGTGAGCCCTCGTAAGCCCAGGCTGGGGGCCCTGCCACCTGCTAGCAGCCCCTCACCTGCCGCCTCGCCCCCTCACTTCCCAGGCCTGCTTACGCATGACCTTGAAGGCCTGGCTTCTGCACTACTCCTCTGACTCAAGCACACCCCGCCACCTCCAGCTCCAGTGGCTGCAGAGGGAAACGAGACAAGACAGGCTGCTAGCCGTCTGCCTTGAAACTCCCGGCTACTGGTCTCAGTGGCCCCAACATGTAGGGGGGTCCCCCCCTGCTCACTATGAGCCCCACTTCACGTCACCTTAGCCCTCAAACACTTTGTCCACTCCTCCTGTCCTCTGGGCAGCAGCTTCTCTTGGCCCCAAGTCCCTGCTCCCCAGAACAGGAACACCTTGGGGGTGTCCTCTGACTTCCTGTCACAGACCCTGCTCGTCCAGGGCACAGATGTGTCCACGCTGCTAATCCCCAGAGGAGATTTCCATCCTGCACAAACTCGACCTGCCACACCAGACGTGCTCCTTCATGCTCTGCGGTGGCTCCGAGGCGGTCCCAAGCGGGCGCTCCCTGACTCCTGTGGCCTGCCGCGCCTCCTCTCTGACGGGGCCGGCCCTCGCTGGGCCATCACCCACCGATCCCGTCGGCTCCTCCACCTGGCCTTCAGGCTCACACACCTGGTTCCCCACACTCCACCCGGACACCCCGCGGGTGTCAAAGCTACTGTGACCCAATGCAGCTCCTCACCACTCCCACCCCCGGCCACCCGGAGGTTTCTGCCCCGACCTGGGGCTGCCTGCAGTCCACCCAGAACTGCCCACTTCTCATCCCGCCCATCCTAAAGCACCACTGGCTCTGACCCAGACAAGCCGACCCCGTGGACTCGGCTCTCGGCCCCGACACCTCCATTCAGGCCCCTGGGAGTCTGTGGACTGCCCCTCGTCCAGCCATTCTTGGCCTCAAGCCCCGCCAATGCTCCTCAGTCTCCCTCGGAGGCAGCCAGAAGCCCTAGAAGCCCCATGGGGCCGGCTGGTACCTCTCCTCCCCAGCCACCCCGCTGCACCACACCCCCGCTCTAGGGGGTCCAGCCCACTTTCTTCCTCCCCGTTACTGCCCACGCAGGGACAAGACACCACCTTCCCCGGTGCTCCCCACCCGGCGCCCCTGCTGTCCCCCGCACACACCTCCACTCAGCCCACTGCACGTCGGCACCTGCTCACCCGTCACACACCCGCCCTGTGTGTGCCCCGGCCTTCTGTCCCCACCTGGCCCCGAGCCCAGACCCTGCCCCATCCAGCCACAACGGCCTTCTCACTTCCTCTGGTCACGTCCCCTTGGAGCTGCGTCCCTGCACCGCCTGCTCCTCCTCAAGTCCCGCTCAAATTGTGCTTCCTCAAAGAGGTGCTGCCCCCTCACCCTACCCAAAAGTCTGCTTTCTAGTCCTCTCGCCCGCTACGTGACATTTAACTCTCTGAGCTAACGCGTGTCAGCCTCCCACCAGAACACTGCTGCCGTGAGGACAGGGCCTGGTCTCACTCACCCCGGTCCTCGCACGAGTCAGGGCCCCCGACAGGAATGAGAGCACCCTGAGCAGCACTCAGGAGAGATCCAGAAGCAAGGCCAGGGATGGCTTTGCAGGGAGCGGACCCAGCTCCCTCCACCTGCCTCCAGTAACAGACACACCCGCCCCGCCCCTGCACCCCAACACCCACAGGCCCCAGGCCCAGGGCTCCACCTGGGGCTTCCCAGAGAATCTCCTGCCCACAGGCCACAGTGAGAAAGGCGGGTGCCACAGGGGCACCGGGACCTGCTAGCGGAAATTCCTCTCCCCAGCCAGGGTGAGTCGGGGAGCCTCTCCTCAGGACCAACAGGCCAGCCGACGGGCAGCCCGCGTGGCAAGGCGGCAGGCGTCGCTTACCGTACTTGACGTCGGGGACCGTGACCGAGCTCTCTGCGATGTTCGTGGACAGGATGACCTAGCGCGCGGGGAGGAAGAGCCAATGTCCACCCTCACCGACCCTGGGCCTGCAGCAGGCATGGGCAGCTCACGCTCCACGCCACTCGGGGCCTCCTGCAAGCTCCCGCCGCTGACTCTGCAGTCAGCCTCTCCCCATCTCACACAAGTCACGCCCACTGGGGCCGCAGGGGTCAGACTGTGGGCTCAGGGCCAGCTGGCTCCGCACCCCCAGCACCTCATTGCTCTCCTGTCAGTGGCAGGATAACAGCCGCCGCAGGTGCGGTGAGGCTGCTCTGAGGACCCCGCCAGGGCTCAGCACCTGGCCCGACTGCAGACAACAGGCACCGCACGGGGCCCCACACAGACCCCCGGGCTGTGTGGCTCGGCCGCGGCCACGGAAGTGGGTACACGTGGTGATGATGCATCTCCTTCACACCTCCACGCGGCAGCGGCCAGGGACGTCTCGGAGGAGAGAGCAGCTCAAAGCCACACAACCATGTGGCTCCCGCCCACCCAACACGCGCGCGCGCCCTGCCAGTGCAGGCCACTCTGGGGTGCCGTCCTCTCCAGGGGTGGAGCCCGGGCCGCAGGGACCCCGACCTCAGGATCACGGCACAGCAGCCCTGAGCTGCGGCCAGACGGCAGCACCTGCCGGCCAACAGCGTCGCTTCTGTGGGTCCCAAGACCACCCGGGGGCAAAAGGCGCCCCAGGACAAGACTCTGAGAGGAAGGAGCCGTAACCGCAGACCCAGAGCCTCCACAGGCTCCTGAGGCCCTCAAGCAGCTCAGGACAGGCTGCGGAACGACAAGCCCATGATCCCCCTGACCCGGGGGGAAACCTCCTGCGTCGGGACTGGAACAAGAGCCAGGGGCAAAGCGTCTTCTCAGGGACACAAGGAGCCGCAGTCCGGGAAACACCAGAGTCAGGGTGGGGCAGCCTGGCTCCTCGGGCCCAGCACGCAGAGCGGGCGAGGCTCAGGCCCAGCGCATGTCTGTCCAGGAGACCAGCAAGGCCACGGAGCACAGAGCAGCCACAGACCTGGGGCCAGGCCCACCTTTCTGTAGCCGGGCACGGGGCTCAGGAACACGTTGTTCTGCTCCTCCAGGGTCACGCTGGAGTGGAGGGGGTACACCTGCAGCCTGCGCGGCGGAGAAGGAGGTGAGGTGGCCGCCAGGGCATGCGCGCCAGACGCCCACTGGGGTCCAGCAGCCACTCGGGCAGGCGCACCGGCCGCGGAGACGCACCTTCTGTGGGTCATGCTGACGAGGAGCTCGTGCATGTAGTTGATCTCGCCCAGACCTGGAAGAGAGGCACGCGGAGAGCCCTGCGTTCACTGCCAAGGGCCGGGCTGCAGAGGAACTTCTTTCTCACAAAAGGCCCCACCGACCCGCCTCAGCTGGCGTTTCTCATCTCCTCCCCCGGCACGTCAGAACCGCAGGTGAATGCGAACGGGGCGGCGGCCGGTAGCTCAGAATACGGGAAAACACTCCTCCCTCGGTTTCCTCCCACAAGGGCTACGCGTGTGATTTCACACTTTCCCCACTGATGCCCCAAAGTCCCCATCCCAAGCGAGCAGCAACGCTTTCACGACCTTAACAGCACCTAGGTAGCCCCGACAGTGAACGTGCAACACTTGTTAGGTTTAGAAAGCGTCAACATAGAAAACATGCTTAATTTTTTGTCTCAATCACGAGTATCTGAGCCACCGGTGAGTTAAACGTGTCTGTCTCCCAGGGACGGCAAAGTCCCGGGCTGGGAGCCTCAGGATGCGACGGTCAGGAGCAGTGTCCCCGCAGCAGAGCAGCCTTCCTCTCACGGACAAGGGGATACACTCACACAGAGACACACACAGGCCGCGTGTCCGTGGAGGCAGCGCTGCAGCAAGGCAGCCCCCAGCCAAGGACCAAGACAGCCAGCCAAGACCAGAACCAAGGGGTGCACACGGACACCACACAGCGCCTTGGAGGGCACAAGGCCCGGGTGGTCCCGTGACTCGGACCTGCTGCCTCCAGCACTAGCAAGAAGGGTCCCGCAGCGACGCGTCTCCTGGAGCGCAGCCCACGCAGCAGCGGCCAGCACACCCCAAACCCGCTCGCAGCAGCCGACCATGAGCACAGGCACCAAGAAGGGCCCTGGCACAGGCACCGGCCCCAACACCTCTCCGGGCAGCGCTCGGGAGAGCCCCTCCTTCCAGGCCCGGCCCAGGCGGCACCAGCTGACCCTGAACACACCCACATGTGGGAGGTGCGGCCCAGCGAGCCAGGCTTCCGCAATGCTCAGATCACCCAGACAGCCGCTCTGCGGTCTCCTGTCAGCGCCCACTCGACTGCGCCCGCCGCACCACTGACCACCTCCCAGTAACAAAAATACCTGCCTGGTTGTGCAATGCCCCATCGAGCCGCGCCCCCTCACTAAGCCACCAAAAATACCACTCTGAAAGCACAACTTGGCAAACGTTAACCCTCAGGCATGTGCAGAGAGCCTCCTCCCACGGGGCTGACGAGCCCGCGGCTGGACTCGGGCAGCAACCGCACAGGGGTAGCACAGGCGCACGAGCACGACATAACAAAGCCAAAGAGTTAACTGAAAACCTGGACATGGGCCAAGTGGATGGCATAGCACCGGGCACTGGACGTTCCTTTGACATTCTCATTGCCAGAAAGAACTTCCTGCACATGGTGACAGTGTGAGCCGGCCCAAGCAACCCTTTTGCAAATCGTACGACAGTCGCCGAGTCACCCTGCTACGTGGCTGGACATCGCGCCCCACAGGCTGCACCAGCAAAGGTGTCAGGCTCCTGCCAGCGCTGAAAGCTACAAAAAGAAGCCAAGCCCAGGGCCTCTCCAGTGACCCAGGGGTCAGTCTCAGGCTGTCACCGCAATGGCCTGGGTTCGATCCCCAGCCAGGGAGCTGACTCACAAGGCAGACCTCTCCTGTCTCCCCGCCGCTCCCCTCAGCAGTGGGTTTCAATGGATCCACCAGTTCTGCTCCCCATTCTGTCTCTGGTGGGTCCTCTCACCCCCAGACCTCTATCCTGCACCCCAGTTCGTCTACTCGAGAATAAAGAAAATCTTTAAAAATATAAAGAGAAGCCAAGCCAAAAATCACGCTGTTCACCTTCTCAAGGATTAATGAGCAAACTCACAGGACGCCATCCTGGCAGGTGCCACCCGCCGCACTCACCTGGCAAGAACACCAGCACGCTGCTGCGCTCCGACATGAACTCGGCCCCCGCCCAGGTCTTGTTCCTGTGGGAAACAGAAGGTGCATCGGTCACTGGAGGCTGGAAGAGCCGCTGCCCCTCCAGAAACCCCCAGCCTCCCAGCCCAGAGGACTCTGGCTGCCCATCTGGTATGTTCGTTCTTCACCTAAAAACCAGAGATGACCCAGGACGTGCAGCTGCCCATGGCCCCAAGGGGGAGTCCCAAGCCTTCCGTTATTTTCTTCCATAAAAACTATTGCAGGGCCTCCCCTGCTGACGCAGAGGTTGAGTGCTGGGCTACAAAGCTGCCCGCAGCCTCTGCAGCGCCAGTTCAATCCCCGGCCGCCGGCGAGGGTCCCACATGGCGCGCAGACCTCTCCTGCCATGCCCGCTGCTCCCCTCAGCAGTGTACTTCGGTCCTTCTGCCTGCTCTGCTCCCTGCTCTGGCTCTGGTGAATTCTCTCACCCTCCTGCACTTCTGACTGTGCCCAGTGCTTGTATAAACAAATAAATAAATCTTTAAAACAAACAAACAAAGAACTATTACAAATCTAAATACCGTCATCCCAGGCCTGAAAATAGCCCACATTTAACATAACAACAAGCAAAATGTGAACTCCCAGTCCAAAGGCTCTGTGGAAACCCCACCGCTGGCCCTGTGGGACGGCACCAGGCACTGTGCCAGCCACCAGGACCAGGCTACGCACCACCCTGCGTGGCCTGGAGGTTCCAGGCAGGACAATGAGGCCTTCAGCCTGGAAAGGAAGAAAGGAAGCCAGACGCATGGGCTCGTGCGGGGATGGCCCCAAAGAAGCCATGAGCATGACCAGTGAGCTCAACAGGCCGCAGGCCAGTTGCTCTGAGTGCTTCTGAGGAACAAGCTAGAAACGGAATTAAGGAGGCGGTTCCACTCACAGGAGCACCAGTAAGAATAAAATACAGGGATGAACTTTCAAGATAAGTAAGAAACTTAACACTCTGGCAACTACCAAGTGCTGTTGAAATAAACAGTCACCGAGCAGAAGAGCCCCCCATCCCGGAGACGAGCAGCGCAGGCGCGGCGACGCTCCCCAAGCTGCATCCCAGCCCCAGGTGCCTTTCAGAATCAGAGCTGCCCTCTCTGCAGAAACTGACAAACTCATTCTAAAATTCACACAAAATTGTAAGGAACACAAAATAGCAGAAGTAATCCCCACAAAGAATAAAGTGAGGAGGACTCAGACTTTTAATCTCTAAATAACCTCAGAGCAAAGATAATCCAGGGGGTGCAGGGCTGGCCACAGGAGACACACGCAGTTGGGGGGGTTGGAGCCAGGAGCCCAGAAATCAGCCCACAGGTCCTCAGCCAACTGATCCCCCACACAGCCTCCCAGGCCAGCCAAACCACCCGCCGCAGGGTACCCGCCTCAGAGACCAGGCCCAGGCGACACAGAGAGGCCAGGCATGTAAAGCTCTTGGGAGGAAACACAGGGGCCTTCGCGGCCCAAGCCTGGAGAGGCGCCTCAGTTGGGACACAAGGGCGCGGGCCACAGAGGTGAAACCGACAAACTGGGCCTCATCTACGCTGAACATGGGGGGTTCCTCAGGACACCTCAAGAGCAGCCCACTGGGTGGAGGTACTCGCATGACAATGCTCGCCGCTCCATGCGAAGGGACAGGCAGCCCAGCTAACGTGGTCCAAGTCGCTCGGGTCTCTGGAGACCAACGACTGGCCAGTGAGCACCTAGAGAAGCAGCATCGCTCCACAAGGAGACGCAGATGGAAACCACGGCACGATGCAGCCTCAGGTGCATGGGCAGCAAGAACGGGGAGCCTGTGTGTGCCCTGGCACACGCAGGGGGCGGGTGCAACCGACCCCGCACCGCTGGCAAGAATGCAAGCAGCCAGATGCGGCCCACTCCCAGCGCACGGCCCCAGACGCAGCTCTACAGGAAGCAGCAGCAGGCTCCCAAGAGCTGGAGGACAGCCCAGTGAGATGGGCTTTGGTCGCCACGGGCGGGCTGGGGCCTGGGGAGGACACCGCAGCCCTCCGGACGCAGCGCCAGGACTGACCCATGGTGTTCACTCCACGGCCGCCGCTGCACAAGCTACCTTCAAGCTGTAGCTTCTAGCTCTTAAAACCATCAGCTCTAAAATTATAGTCACCGTGGCCGTGACTACTTTAGAGTGGAAATTTCCAGTAAAAATTCTGCAATGGGGCCTCCCGGTGGCACAGCGGGTTGAGCGCAGCGCTGTGAAGCTGCCTCTGCAGCGCAGGTTTGCTCCTCAGCCGGCCGGGGAGCTACCCACATGGCGCGGCAGGCCTCTCCTGACTCCCTGCCGCTCCCCTCAGCAGTGGATTTCAGTCAGTCTGCCTGTTCTGCTCCCTACTCTGGCTCTGGTGGATCCTCTCACCACCTCTATCTCTGGCCCATACCCCAGCTCTTGTATAAATAAATAAATCTCAGGAAAAAAAATCCACAACATTCTAACTTCATTTTTTAAACCCCCCAGTCACGACAGAGAAGTATCTACAGGGGCCCTGAGCCCCGCCAGAAACAAAGCAACGCGGCCTCGCAGGCAAGTGGCCGCCAGCGCTCACCCACTCTCCTGCAGATCCAGGTCGTCAAACATCCTGATCAGGGCGGCAGCGACTTCATACGCGTCCTGAGTTATCACCGGCTGCTCCAGGAGGTGAGGGGAGAACTGGAAACGGGCAGGAGACAGGTCGGAACACCAAAAAAGAGTTACCAAGCGAACTCAGGGGGCGGCCCTCTCCTGCGGCTCACCGCGGGAAGCACCCCCAGATAGCCACCACCGAAGGGCAAGGGCGGGGCCCGCCACCGCAGGCTGTGCCGGAGGGGCTCTACTTTGTGTGAGAAGTCAAGGAAGCGGGGGAGGGGGGGCGCTCTGGTCCCCGCCAAGCCTTCACCCCGAGAGCCCTGGGATGCAGCATCACCCAGGTAGGAGCGGCCCCAGAATTCACAAGCGCCTTCCGTCTCTGCCAACCCCCAGTGGCAGCTGGGCCGCGTGCTGTGCCCACCAGGCCCGGGCACATGGCACCTCTCCCAGTTGTGATTAAAATGAAGCCAAACTTGATTCCCTGGGATTTAAAACTGCCCTCAGCTGCCACCGCAGGGCACTGGGGCTCACCAGAGCAGCAAACCCCACCCATGAGAACCCCTAGTCTGAGCTGACAGCTTCCCGGGGACCGCCAGGGGTCACTGAATGGTCAGCACAACAGCACGTCGTGATTCCCGCAAAGTCCATTCTGCGTCCTGACTGGACCTTCCCCGCCAAAAGGAAGCCGGCTGCGCTTGCGTCACCACTTACAGCTCTTTGTCAAGAACGCGCCGTCAGGCCCTGCTCTTCGCCCGGCAAGGGACGCATCAGAAAAAGCCTTCGGACAATAAGCAGCAATAATCTTTCCAGTTCTCACTGAGGAGAAATCGGCTAGCATGAGCCGGCCCACGTCTCACCATCACCGCCGCCCGCAGACAGAATGAAGACAAACGGACGTGCCCCCCGCCTGGAGGAGGGACCCTCACAACCCCGCCTGACGGCCAGCCTTCCCCTGACGGGATGCTCTCTCTTACCCAAACTGCCACCGTCATTCGCCTAACGCAACCCTACAAAAACGAGAGAGAAAACAGGCTTATTCTCCGGAGCTCCCAGCCGCCTCCAACCCCGCGCGGCGTCGCTCTCCTCCAGCACGCGCAGAAAGACCCGTCTCCACTCTCAGGTGATGCTGTAACAGTGGGGGGGGGGGTCAAGAAAAGGGGCGGTTCCAGGTTCCCTACCCCACCCAAGGGAGGGCGAAGCTGAGCAGGAGGCGAAGCTGGGGAGGAGGCTGGCGGGAGAGGAAGAGGGCGGGAGGCGGCGCGGGGAGCAGAGACATGAGAAGCCGCGCTGGCTTCGTGGTCCCGGGTGGGTCGGAAGGGACATGGGGGAGCCCTGCGGGGAGGGGAGCGACGGCAGCTTTGATTCCGCTCTTTTCCTCCCAGACTGATCTGGCTGTTTCTGACCCCTTCCATGGGTCCCTGCCGGAAGGCGCCTTAGATGTGACAGCTTTGGGGCCTCAGGGGCCTGCGATGGGTCACCCTGTCTAGCTGGACATTTACCCACAAGAGAGTGGGGACTTTAGGTGCCTGATTCGGAGAAACTCTGTCCTTCCCCTCTGCTGTATCACACACAAGCTGTATGAAAATTCTTTTCCATTAAAATTCCTAACGCGCTGGAGTGTGTGTCCTCTCGACGCGGCGGCTGGCAGGACCTACTGAGAAGAGGCAGGTTTGGGGGTCTGCGGTGCCCCTCTCCCGGCCCTGGAACAATTCCATTCGCTCTAGAATCCAAGTCCAGAAAACTCCTTTCCAGCACAACGCTCACGAGGCTCCCAAGGAGCCCACTATCTCCACCGCTGGGAGCAGGTGACAAGGGGGGCGCACAGGCCCTGGGATGGCGGCCAGCGCAGCCAGGAGTGCGTGGGCTCCGTCCTGCAGCCACCAGCACGCCCGCCCAGGGAGGCAGCTACCACAGCGGGGCGCCGTGCAGGACCCAGGCTGCAGGCAGCAAACAGGGCAACCGCATGGGGACAGGAGCACTCAACCTCCCTCCCACCCACCTCCAGAGTCCCTTCTGGCGGAATCAGGGCCGCAGCCCACTGTGCAGGGTAGGGCGCCGGGCGGGGCGCCAGGCATCGCATGCCGGTCACGGGCAGGCCCTCGCCATCTCACTGACAGCCAGAGCTAGAGTTATGTGCTTTTCCAAAGGCCTGGGGTGTTTTGGGCAAACGTCAGAAAAGGGGCCTGGACGGGGAGGGCGGCGGCGCAGGGAGGAAGGTTGCATTCTGTCACGCGAGACGGTGCGCTGGGGCATGCCACAGCTGGGATGTAAACCACAGTCGTGACAACAGTCCTCTGACTCCAGACCGCGCAGAGGCGGGTGAAGACACGGGCGCCGCGAGGCCGACGCTGACACACGGGACAAGCCAAGCTCCTGCTCTCAGGACACCTTCTGGGCAGCTGGCAGGGACAAAGACAGGCTGCGGCCAGGTGATGCCGACACCGGAGCTGCCCGCCTGCTGGACAGAGCCCACCGCAGGGGCTCAGAGGGCACCAGGCCCACCGTGCTTGGCTTGTGCATGGGGAGCCACGTAAAGGTGCGTGGCTCTGCCTCCATGACGCCAATCAACCTCCACCAGAGTCAGTCCCCTTGGCCAAGTGCAGAGACCAACTGTCATTTCTCACATTCAAAAATGGTTCAGAAAACGCAGAATTACTGATGGTTCCCGGTGCCCTCCTCACCACGAACACGGCTGCGCTCAGTGCCCCACAGGAGACGCTCACTGGGGAGCCGGGTGATGACAGGTGGTGCCCACTGCAAGGGTCTTTCAAAGTGCTGCCTTAGACGCTGGGAAAAGCGTCTGTCACCGTCTCGGCTGATGCCCAAGCCAGGAGGGCCCTCCCGCCCCCGTCAGCGCCGGCTCCCCACCTACCCGGCTGTGGTGGATGTGCCCCAGGTCGTCCAGGTAATGCTCGGTGATGGCGTGGGGCGTCCCTTCCACCTCAAAGACATAGGCGGGGCTCAGCCTGTTCTGGACGGGGACGGCGAAGTAGTCAGCGAACTCCCTGCAGTTGATGGTGGCCGACATCAGGATCACCTGGGGGTCAGAGGGCCGACGCCGCAGCATCACCACAGTGACTGCAGCGAGACACGCCTGGGGCCTGGCCCTGCCTCTGCGGGAGACAGCTGCCGCGGCTGAGGACACCCCACCTTCCGCAGCTTCTTCAGGTGTATCCCCCAGTGAGACACGACATCTGGTTGATAAAACTAAGTCGCAGTCACTGATTTCAAGGAAGCTGCGTCAGACAACTAACTTAGAAGACTAAGTCACGTCACACGTCCCAGGAAAAATGAGGGCGTGACCCAGCAGAAAGGAAGACAGGGTCCAGAACCGTCGGCTTGGAGCCAAGACCCTATCGCGGCCGCTGGCGGACAGCTAGGCAGGCAGAGAGCAGGTGGCCCAGGGGCCACAGGACTCGGGACCTGCCCGCAGGTTTGTTTTGCCAAAAGAAAACCATGGGATGAGACCTTCCAGAAACATGGCGGGAAGGCGGCTCTGCTCTGGCCCTGCTGGGGAACACAGGGTAGCGGGGGCTCTGTGGGCGAGGCCTGGCAGAGGCCCCCGAGCCAGCATCTCCACTCTCCCCTTTGACGTCAGAGACAGACGGTGAGACTCACGTGCCAGACTCGCTTTTCCACGAGCGGCCTGAGGCTGCAAGGAAGGCCCGAGAAGTCATTCGAGGTGTTAGAGGGGCCCATCCCAGGCGGGGGCTGATCTCTAAACTAGGCGCTGGGCCCAGACTGGTCGGCCAGCCAGCAGGGACCACCACCGGCGAGGAGCCAGGGACCACAAAAGGTGGGGCGGGGGGCCATGGAGACCTCGAAGGCCACCTGTCCGGGGGTGATGGCATCTCTTCCAAAAGCAGCACAGGACCTGAGTTTCGAGGCCCTATCCCAGAACCCCCGAGGCCTCACGTGTGTCCCAGCCAGCACACACGGTGCGTCTCTAGCGAGGGTCCCACCCGCGTCCTTCGCAGCGTCACGGGACCACTCCCCGCTGCTCACCGGAGGGGCGTCACAGCCCTCGGCCCTGCGCTCAGTGGCGGGGTGAGTGTTTTCAGCCCACAAACACTGCTGAACTCTCTTTACTACTGAAAACTAGAAAAAGGCACGTAAGCAAGTCATTACCCTCGAGTAAGACAGAAAAGTCTCAACACGACAATCCAGACAGACCCGGGACTGTGGAACCAGGGTGCAGCAGAGGAATTCCTGGTGCGGTCATCTCAACAGCGAGGCCGACACACGCACCCCCCCCCCCACCGCCCCAGGAGAAGGTGCTCAGTCTGGGGCCGGCGATGCCCAAGGGATGGGAAGCTTCTTCCAGACACGTGTTGGCCCTTGGGCCGGCCCTCAGGAGGTGGCCCAACACCCACCACGGCTGCGTGCACACCGCTGAGACCCGCTGAAGGCACAGGGGGCTGGCCCGCGCGACATCGCAGGAGAGACCGCGCTTCTCTCTGGCCCAAGCTCGCGCCTCTCGGCTTTGGCTCCTGCGCTGTGAGAACAAAGTGACCGCGCCAGGCCTTCGGCCGCGTGTCATGAGCCCCAGAGGCAGGGGGACTGGACAGTCTGGGACACGGCGCTCCAGCACTATTGTTAAAGTAAGGTCTGCAGGTACACTCGCCCCCTCCGAGCATGAAACCTGCTCAACTAAGAGCAGCACGCTTCCTCCCCACCCCTCCACCCCCGCCCCGGGGAGAGCTTTAAACAACACACAGCCCGACAGGACCCGCGCCCTGGCCCTGAAAGGCTGCCCTCAGCCGGCCCCGAGCAGGTGTCAGGTTGTCGGTGCTGAAACACAGAGAACTCGACTGAGACCAGATCTTAGCCCCAGAGAGCGCTGTCCCGACAAAACCTGTCTTACCTTCACAAAGCGCGAGTTTGTCCTCAGCAGCTTGCGGACGACCAGCAGCAGGAAGTCCATCTCCTCCGTCCGCTCGTGCACCTAGGACAGGCCGCGGGTCGCGTCAGGCCCAGGAGGTGGGGCGGGCAGCTCGGGAGCCACTTCTCCTGGCTCAGGGCCCATGGGCCAAGCAGAGGAGGGTCTCTAGGGCCCCCGCTGGCCTCTAGGCAGTCAGGGTTCACCCTGGGCCCTGCCCACTCAGTGTCCGTAGTGCCCCAGACAGCCACAGGCCCCAACCTGCCCGCCTCAGCTCCACACTGAGTGACTCTGTTCCTGCAGCCAGATGGCAGGGGCGAGAGGCCAGGGCAGGGTGTCCATCGACGGGACCCAAGGCAAGGGCACAACACTGGCCTGGAAAAGCTGGGTCCAGCACAAACAGGTAAACCTGAAGCCCGTCAGCACCCTCAGCCCTAGGGTAAGTGCAGGCGCCGGGATGGAGGCTGCCGGAGCTGCCCCAGGCCCCACGGTGGTCCCAGACCCCACCCTGCCTCACTAGGACCCGCCGAGGCGCATCACTCACTCCATAGGAACCCGGTTACTTGCTCGCCCAGCCGGGCCCTCTACGCAAGGAGCGGCCAGGTTCTCTGCAAGCGAGCCCTGAGGAGGAAGCACCATCTCCTCGCTGTGCAGGGCCCACCGCTCACCCCACCACCAGCCCCAGGCCAGGCCCCACCTGCCTCCCCCCACGCTGGGAGTCTACATGATACCCCGCTGCCCACTAATCCCTCACAGTTCCCTGCGAATGCTGCGACCCTTCCTCTCGGACACGGGGGAGGCAAAGGAAATGAAGCGCCGGTGAAGCCCTCAGCATCGAGAGCCCAGTGAGCCCGACGTGCCAGCAGTCACCCCCAGTGCGGCGTCCCTGCCGCCCCCAACCCAGCCCCACCCCGGCCTCCTGTCTCCACAGCATGAGAACGCAGACCCCGAGAGGCTGCTGCAGACAGCTCCCCGCCTGCCTGGTCCCGCAGCCCCAGCAGGCAGCCAGAAGGCAGGCCTGGGCGCTCGCAGGTGGAGGCTTCCCCAGGGGCGGGTTCATTCTTTCTCGAAAGCAGAAAAGCCACCGTCCCACGTTCAACCACCTCCACCTCCAGCCCCTTGCGAGTCTTCGGAAGTTCTAATCACCCCACACTCACAGTTCTAATCACCTTGCCTGACCCTCAGGTATATCCGGCCCCCATTCCCCCAGCCACTGCGCCGCTCCCAGGCCCTGGGCAGCCGGGCCGCAACCCAGGCCAGCACTTGGCGCAGCTTGAGGAAAGAGTGCCGAGCACAAGGCGCCCCAGTGCGTGCACAAGCCCCCCAGGCCGCAGGAGGCAGGGTGCGCAGAAGACAAACGAGGGCGTCAACAGTGCAGTTCTGGAGCGGACCCCCGGGGAAGCCCGCAGCCCCACTTCCACGGGAGCCCAGCTGGAAGGCTCAGCAGGTGCAAACCGCCTGGCCCTCTTGATGCCGCCCCCGCTGTGGCCACCAAACATGAGACCGCCTGCTGCCGCAAAGACACAGGCCTCTGCACCCCACCGCCCACCACAGCAGGTCACTTCCCTGCGCCCCCCTCCCAGGGGAAGGAAGGTGAGACCTAGGCGCCCGCCACGCCCTTGGAGTTCGAGCATCCTCGCAGCCACAAGCCAGGCGCTGAGAGCCCCGACAGCCCCCAGGGCCTTCTCAGTCCCCACCAGGTACTGCAGCCCCCTCATGGAGCCCCCACTCTATTTGTTTGCTTATGTTTCTATTCCCCCGAGAAGCCAACAGAGCTGCTCAAGGAATGATCTCCAAGACCGGGGCTGAGGTGAAAAAGTTCCCAAGACGCCTCAGACAGTTTTTTGAAAACACCCTACGCCTTAAAAAACCCTTGTCTGAATATAAACTAAATCCAGTAAACATTCCACCCTTACGGAGAAAACTCCAGAGAGCGAAGACCAGATTCACAATCCCTGATGAGAGGTTTTTCCAGAGCAGTGAGCAATCAATGCTGCGTCTGTGACGTCTAAGGCCATCTGGGCCTGCTTGCATATGCGACACCCACGACATCCACGAGGCGCTCTGCTGCCCCGACCATCACAGCTCTCTCCGGGCCTGGCCAAGCTCCCCCTGACAGAGCTGAAGCCGGGGCGCATGTCAACCCCTCCGCTGCAGGCTCTGGCCTTTAGCTCAAGCATGTCGCCTGCGGGGCGGCAGCAATGGCCAGAAACAAGCAAGTGTGTCTGCGTGCAGTGGACTTCCACAACAAAACAGGGGTCATGCCTGCTGACCCCACTGTAAACACAGGGTCCTTCTTAGCCCTCAAACACCTCTCACCCCCACCCCCCGGGCCTTGGAACCAAGCACAAAGTTGGGGCACAGCCCTACCTCGTCGATGAAGACGTGCGTGAACTCCGTCAGGCTCTTGGCACCCACCACCTTCTGCAGCAGCACCCCGGTGGTCACATAGGTCAGCCTGGTGTCCTCCGTCGCCACCTTCTCGAGTCCCACCTCAATTGGGGCAGGAAAAGCGAGAACATTTTTAAGTGTGAGCGGTTCACGTTTAACTAGCGAACAGGCTACATCATCTTAAATGGAAATAAGAAAGGTAATAACGACATGACTACAAACGACAAAACCAGAGTCTGAATTAAAAATGGGGCTCAAAAGCTGATTTGTTGTTCCCTTTTTTCCTGAGGGGCCGGGGCCTGGCCGACGCGCTCACACCGTCTGTGTCCCTCTTATGTAGAGAGACGTCTACGCACAGAGAAGTGATTAAAAGAATAAACTCATAAAAGGAGTCTGAGAATTCTCATGTTTTTTCTCTGTTCAAATGGGAAAAAAATTAGTTTTAAAAAAATTCCGAGTCTCTCTGTTCTTTAAACCGGGCCGTGGTTCTACGCCATGGGCCTCGGCCCGCGCCCACTCCCGGAGCACACAAGCACCCCAGCACAACCCACGCGGGCGCCCCCCAGGGCCCACCTGGTAGCCCACCAGGCCGCCCAGCGTCCAGGCGCGCTCGCGGCTGATCCAGCGGGCAATGCTGCTGGCCCCGATCTTGCGTGGCTGCGTGACCACGATGTTGCAGTAGGCGGCGCGCTGGAGGTGGTGGTCCAGCACGTACTGTGGGAGCTGCGTGCTCTTCCCGCTGCCTGTGGCGCCATGGATAATGACCACAGAATTGCTCTCTATCAAGGACATCACCTAGGGTTGAGAAAAATTCTTTCAAAATGGCCACAGAGTTAGTAAGAACGTAAAACGTTACCTAAGAGGCAGAAGCCTTATCTGGGGAAGACTCCCCTTTACCAGGGAAACGACCGCCCAACCACCCGACGGTCACCCGAGGACGGCGGTCGGGAGCCAGGCCGGGCCAGCCCCAGCTGTTCTTCACACATAAAAATGGAGACGCCAAGCTTGCCTGCTACGCCTGCCAAGTCTTCATCTCTGTCACCTGAAGTTTCACAGTTCCCAGCTCCCGAGGAGCACCAGCGCCGCGCGGCCTCCCAGGGCAGGGGTTCCAGCCGCGGTTCTCCACAGCTTTCACTGCGGCGCAGCGGGCATTTGTGAAGCAGCGACCCCGCCCTCTGCCTCCTCGCTGAATTAAGCGCCCCCACCCCCCGCAATGCTTTGTAGAGTGAAGGAATACACCTGGCCTTGAACGCTGGTCTCTAAAGCTTAATGCGGTGTATATAACCCACACAAGTTCCACGTGTCAATCTAAAGCAGCGTGGAAGTTATATCTGGAACCTTCCAGCTTCATCTGTAACTGCTTCTTCCGTTGGGATCTTTAGTTCCCGGCATGTCTAATAACATATACCTACTAAAAACTTAGTCCAAACCCAAAGTGCATCTGGCCTGGTGCTGTCCAGGAAACGACGTGTCACTGATGAAGCAGACCAGGCCGCGGCAGACACCGGCCGAGCAGGCAACACCAGCAAGGGCTGTGGCGACCGAGCCGAGCCCGCGACACTGCAGGCGGGTCCTCCAGCAAGATGCTCCAGGGAAGGGCCCTCCAGGAGAAGCCTGGGTGGCACGGAAGGGCAGGGGAGCAGCTTGGGGGAAGGCTGAGCCAACCGGGACCAGGACCTTGGAGAGGACAAGCACGGGCCCCCTGGACGGCCCGGTGCGCTCACTCGGCACCCGGTCGCTTCACCCCGTGGGCCAAGCAGGCGGCCCCGGGCACTGACGCAGAGAGCGAAATTCCACTGCGCCAAACCCTTACCTCATCCTTACACCGGTTTATGGGCAAGTCGGGATACTTGTGAGCTGTCTCTGGGATGCATGTCACGTTGCTTAATTTAACCGAAGGCGGCTGTGGACCTGGATTCAGACAAGAGAAACACGTGATGCCACCTTGCGTCTGGAATAAGACCAAGGCAAACGCCAGGGTTGATCTGATCTGTACCTGCAGCACACGCTCACACCCACACAAAGACACATGCCCACAGCCCGGCACGCGAGCAGGACTGTGAGGTGCCCCCAAAAGCCCACTCTTAACCACTGACACAGGCAGCCCAGAACATGCACGTCCTGCCAGCCCCCCCCCCATGCAAACTGTGAGCACCCCCTACCAGCGTGCTGGGCAAAGACCTGCACAGCCCTTGTCACCCCGACGCAGCGCAGAGATGGCTCAACGTCAGCAGAGCGCGCCAGCGTACACGTTCATTCCTTGCCGCCAGGGCAGGCCAGCAGCGGTGACCAGCAGGCCCGGGCCTGGGGGCGGCGTGGACAGCACACTGGGTGCCGAGCACAGGGCTGAGACTTCTTGCGCCTGTGCACCAGCCTGACAAACGCGGGTCGCCCGGCTGTGCAGCCGATCCTGGCCCCTCGCCATCCTCGGCAGACGGACAGGCCGCAAAGTGCATGAGACACAACTTGTATGGGGAGCTCTTCCATCTCCCCTGATTTAACACCATATTCCCACCCCCAGCCCTTTATGCTCAGCGCCCCCCAGCACCAATCTGGCATCCCTCGGGCCTTACGCATCTCCTCCATGCACTACTCAGGGACACCGCTGTCTGATGCTGCTGCTGGGATGCTGCTGTCTGCTGCCTGTGTCAGGGCACGACAGGGTACCTGCTCTGAATGTTAAAACCAGGAGCCAGGGCCTCCCCAGCAGCGCAGTGGTTGAGCTCTGGGCTGCGAAGCTGCCCGCAGCCTCTGCAGTACCCGTTTGTTCCCCGGGCAACGGCGAGGGTCCCACATGGCGCACAGACCTCTCCTGCCGCCCACTGCTCCCCTCAGCAGTGTATTTCGTCAGTCTGCCTGTTCTGCTCCCCGCTCTGGCTCTGGAGAATTCTCTCACTCCCCGCGCTTCTGTACCCAGTGCACATATAAATAAATAAATCTTTTAAAAAAAAACACAAAAAAACCCAGGAGCCAGAGGTGTGCTCATCGCGCCAAGCAACAGCAGCTTCTCTGTGGAGGCAAAGTTACTCCCAGGGCCTTAGGGGCCCCCAAACAGGGCTTTCCTCCCACTTTGCAGCTTGCTCTCCGCCCCCCCCCCCCCAGCCTGGAACAGCAGGGCCGAGGCCCTCCTTCCCAGCTGCTCTGTGCGGCCTTCTCACCCTCCACAGGCACGTTCCCCTCAGTCCTTAGGCTTGACTGTGCTGCCTCTGCACCACCGAGCACGGAGCACAATTCAACGTGTGAACGGGTTCTAACTTACAAATGGCGCCAACATTTCATGAAATTATTTGAGCTTTTAACGGAAGATGGCTACCGAGGCCAGCCCACAGGGAAGGGCTGAGACAGCAGATAAAGAGGAAGCGGCACGCGCTCACCATTCTGGATGCTGGGGGGTGGGGGGGGGGTGTCTGTCAACAACAGGCCTTTGAAAAACAATGAGCTGATGGGGCAGCGGGGGCGGTGGGGGGGGGGCACCCAGCATGGGCTACAGGGGCGCCTGAGACCCACGGTCTGCTGTCCTTAGACCAGAACTCTCGCTTTGAACAGATTCCTGCCCCAATGACGCCCAAGGAGAGCCGGGCACCGACGCCATCGGAAAGTAACCAAGCCCAGTGAGCCAAGATGTCCATGGTCAAGGTGACAGGGAGATGACAACAAGCTCTGGGGACTGAGCATGCCGAGCACCAAAACACCAACCACGACGGGCTGTTCTGACCAAGCAACCGGTGTGCTCATGGCCGAGCAGCCGGCCAGAGGCGGGCGCGGGATGGCTCCCTCAGGGGTGGGCCCATCCCCCACACTTCCGGCAGCTACCCGAAGGAACACCGGGACTCGCCTTGCCGAGAAGCAGGAACCGCAGACCGACTAGCAGTGGGGACGGTGGGGGCGCTTTCAGGGACGAGCTTGTCCGAGAGGGGCAAAGGGGACAGGCCTGCAGGAAGGCAGGGAGGTGGCAGCAGTGCTTTCTGCTGGACTTGCACTCCAGCTGGCAGAGCAGCCCGATGACCCCGCTCCTGGGTCCCTTACATTTCGCTGCGATGAGACAGGCAAGGCCGTGCCCCAGGGAGCGCTCACAGAGGACAATGTCAGACGTCCTCAGGGCACTGCCCAAGCTCACTGCCCTGCCTCCACATCACACACACACAGACCAGCCGTCCAGGCCACTGGCTGCAGCAGGCCCGGCATGAAGCAGGGCCTGTGTCCACGCCGCCACCACAGGGCGCCCGGAGAACGGAGGTGCTCATGGCCGCAGCCCCTCCGTCTTGTGCAGCTGCAGTCTCGCGCACACGGAGAAAAGGAACCAGGAGGGAGAAAAGATTATGGGTAATTTTAAGGCAAATCGACAAGTGACATGAGGCAAGCTGTCATCCAAAGCAGCAAAAAATGTCTCAAGCTCAAAATTCGCTATTTTTGCCCGTTATCTAGAGCGTACCTATTTATCCTCAGACGTCAACGTTAAAATGCTTACACAAAGAGCAAAAAAAAGGAAACCATTAAAATCGCTGGTTTCCCCTCAGCAACCCGCCCCGCTCCGTCACCCGCCGAATGTGGACTGTACCCCAAGCCCCGCAGCCGTGATGGCTGTGAGCCGCAGAACGTAACGGCGCCTCCTATTGCAAATGTAGACGCTGCTTGCTGTCAAAAATAAGTTTAATTACCACGTTACCGATTTAACCATGAAATTAAACCTTCAAAATAACTGCGCAGCTCGCGCTCCCAGGCCGGAAAGCATCCTGACGCGGAACCGAGCGGAACGCGCGAGCCCCCCTCCGGCGTCTCTGCCCCACGCAGGCCGTCCTCTTCCCGCCAGAAGAAAAGCTGGAAGCGGCAGGAGTCGCTTAAAAATACCAGCCAGGAGGCAACAGCCCTCCAGCCCTCCACCTCAGCGAGCGCCCGGGCCCGGGGCTGCGCCAGGCGCGGCGAGGGCTCGAGGTCTCAAAACGACTTAGGCTTGGCCGAGCGTGGCCGCGCAGAGCTAGGCCGGGCAAGCTACAGGGTGGTGGGCGCGTACAGACACGTCCACAGGTGACGACACGCCGCCGCGCCCACCCGAGGCCAAAGACCCCATAACCCAGAGAAGAGGGCGCGTCTGGGGACGCCCGCGCTGCCGCAGGAGCCAGGGGCCGGCGCGAGCCACGGCCTGAACGCAGGCGCAGAGGGCGCGACCATGCACACGCACCCGCCGCCCGGCCCAAACCTCCCCACGTCCGACAAGTCACACACCCTGTCCGCTGGCCCTGACCAGTTCCACCCACTGGGTCACCCTGTCATCCCCGCGAGCCTGGCCTGCCCTGGGCGACCCTCCTGGCTTCTCCCCAGGGCTGCTGCGGCGCCACCACCATCCCCCACGCCCCCCCAAAGCCGTCTTCCCAGGACCAAATCTGTTCACAAGGCAGCACCCTCTCCCCGCACAAGCACCCGGGGCTCGAACCCCCACCGGCTTCCCAGGGTGAGTGGCCGGCAACACCGGGGCTTCCTGAGGCCGCTGTGACCGGGCAGCACGGGCTTGGTGCCGGGAGCTGGGGGCCCCACAGGCCAACGCGCACAGTCGGGACGCCAAGCCCTGACCGGCCACTGACCCCCGCCCGGGGTCGCGTGGCCGCCGGCTCCTTCTGGCCGTGGAAGGGTCGTCTCTTGCCGGCCCAGCGGTGAAGAGCCTCCCGCGCGTGTGGTGCCCTTCTTACCTCACCCCCACCTTGGCTTCCGTCATCACAGCTCCTGCTCCTGAGGCGCCCCCCTCCTCGCTTCACCTGCCCACCTGGAGAGCCTCACCCCGCGAGACCTTCACATGGTCACAGCCACAAAGCCCCTTTGCCACCGGCAGAAATACAGTCCCGGGTTCAGGGGACCAGCTGCCCAGGCCCGCCCAGCCCCGGCCACTCCTCTCGGCACTGTGTACACCGACACCCGCTCTGCCTGGGGACTCCTGCTCACTCCCAGCTCCGCTCGGAGGCCCCAGTCTGAGGTCCCCAGAGCGCTCTTTCTGGGGCAGTTCTCTGCAGAAGCCTCGACCTGGACGGGCGGTGCCGAAGCCATCACTGCGAGAGAGGTGGGCTGCCTCCGGCACAACCTGGTGGGGGCTGGTCACTGGCTGGTCACTGGCCGATTGCTCTGAGCGCGGCCAAAGCAGTCATTTTGGGGGCCACCCGGTGACAAGCCGCCGGTGACTCCGCCGTCCTGCATTCAGCAGCAGCAGCTTCAAACACGAGCCCAGGTCAAGAGCTAGGAGAGCGGATGCCCTGAAAGGCAGGCACTGCCCCCGGCCATGTCCCAGAAGCCCAGCGTCCATGCCCAGGCTGGAGAGCTGCGTGTATGCATGGGGTAACGAGGGAGAAAGGGCACAGGAGAGCTGTTGGGGAGCCGCAAGCCGCTCTCCACGGGCTCTGGGCACGCCTCCCCGGCACCCATACCCCCTCACGCCTCCACCCAGGCTGCATCCGGGAACTGCAGCCTGAAGCCAAAGGCCTCTGAGCCAGCGTGCGCAAGGCTGCCAGGTGCAAACAGGGCTAAACCCCCACCGCGACGCCACAAAGCCAGCGGCAAACTGGCACGCACGGCCCTAACACCTGTGCCGCCTCCACCCCCCGAGCCCGATGAGTCCTCCTCCGCAGCCTACCCCAGGTCAGGGTCTGGGTGGCCGGCACCGCCCCTGCCGCTCAGGTCGAGGCGAGGACCCCTCTGGACAGGGCGGCGCAGACTAGCAGGACGGGCGCCAGCCGACCGTTTCCTCTGGATGCTGCAACGAGATGCCACGGGCCCGCCCACGCCGCAGACGCCAGAGCGTCTCCACCCGACAGCGGGCAGGAGCCAAAGCGGGCCAAGGCGCACAGAGGGCAGCACTCGGGCGACTCCAGCCGCAAGGCCTGAAGACGAGCCCCCGAAGCGCCAGGAGGCGCCCGCGCACGGCATCCCCGGCTGAGGAAGGGGCGCTGCGCCGCGGCCTCCGGCAGAAAGGACAAAAGGGCAAAGCGCTTCCGCAAGGCGGCCTCTGCCCCAGGCGCACCACAGGGAGCAGCGAGCCGCCCGGAGCGCGGGGCCGGCAGGCCGGGGGAGAAGACCCAGCTCCCGAGGGACAGGGGGCGGGTACCGGCTGGGCGAGACGCCCCACAGCCCCCAGGCCGGCCGGGGGCGCCGCGACAGGCCGGGGCCGGGCGACGCCCTCGGGAGCCGCACAGGCGCGGCTCGGGCTCGCACGCAGGAGGGGCGGCCCGCGTGGACACCGCCCGCCCGGGTCGAGGGGGACTCCCGGGCGTCCCTCCCGTGGAGCAGGGTTTGCTCGCCAAGGCCGTCCCGCTGAGCGACGCCGGGGCCGCCGGGCGCGCGGTTGGAGCAGACAGCCCCGCCTGCCCCCGCGGGGCGGCCGTGCCGCGGGACTCACCTGGCGGGCGGGCGGCGGGGTCGGGCGGGTCCGCGGGGCCCCCCTCCGGGCGCCGGGGGCTGAGCGGCCTGCGGGGAACAGAGAGCTGGGACCGGGCCGCGCTGCTTCCAGCGGGCCCGGCCTCCACCGCGGGGCGGGCGCAGCACCCCGGACGGCAGGCCCCGGAGGGCGGGGGCCCGAGAGAGGGCGCGGGGCCTCGGGAGGCGCCGGGCGGGGCCCGGTCAGGCACGTGCGCGGCCGAAGACCCTCCCGGGCCGCAGGAAGGGGCCGCCCGCGAGGCCGCACGGCTCGCCTGGCGCGGCGCCGGGGCGGGGGCGGGGGCCGAGGCCAGCAGGGGACCGGCCCGGCGGCCCCCCAACCCCCGCCCCCGTCCGGGGCTGCTCTCGGGGGGCGCCCGCGCCGCCGGCCCCTAGACGGCCCCCCAGCCCCCGGCCCCGCCCGGCCGGCCCCCCCACACCGCCTGCCCCGCCCCCCGCCCGGCCCCCCCCACACCCGGCCGGCCCCCCCACACCGCCTCCCCCGCCCCCTCCCCGCCGGTCCCCCCACACCAGGCCGGCCCCCCCACACCGCCTGCCCCCGCCCCCCCGCCCGGCCCCCCCACACCAGGCCGGCCCCCCCACACCGCCTGCCCCCGCCCCCCGCCCGGCCCCCCCACACCCGCCCCCCCCCGTCCCGCCGGCCCTTGCCCGCGACCTGCAGTCCGCGGCCGGCGGGGGCGGGGCCGGGGCCGGGGCGGCGGGCTCGGGGGCCGGGGCGTCCCGGCGCTGGGCCTCCTGCCGGGCCGCCTCGGCCGGGAAAGCGGGCGGCGAGCCCAGCAGCTCCACGTCGGCCACGGCCTTGCCGAGCGTGAACCAGTCGTTGATCTGGTCCACGGTGAGCTTGCGCAACATGCCGGCGCCCAACCGCCCGGCCCAGAGCGCGGGAATGGACGACGCGGCGGCGCCAGACTGCGCCGGCGCGGCCCCGCCCACCCCGCCCTCCATTCAGAGCCCGCCACGCACCCCGGGCCTGGCCTCGCCCCGCCGGCCCCGCCCGCCCCGCCCTCCAATCAGAGGGCGCCTGTCTCCAGGGACTGCGGGCTCCACGTGCCGCTAGCCCCGCCCCGCTCCATCTCCTCCAATCAGAAGGCGCCTGTCTCCAGGGACAGTGGGCTCCACGTGCCGTGAGCCCCGCCCCACTCCATCTCCTCCAATCAGGAGGTGTCTGTCTCGAGAGACAGCCGCTAGCCCCGCCCCACTCCAGCTCCTCCAATCAGAAGGTGCCTGTGTCAGGGAGCCCCGGCCCCGCCCCCCCGCCGCCGGCCCCGCCCACCAGCCTCGGCGGCGCACACGTGTGTCAGGTGGAGCGGGCGGCGCCCCGCAGCGATCTGCCTCCCGCGCCCCCGGCTTGTGCCCACCCCTGGGGAGCGGCGGCCTCGAGCCGGTGGGCGGGTCGCTCCGGGGGTGGGGGGAGGGAGACGCACCGGAGGGAGCGGGTGCGGGCGGGGCGCTGCGGGAGGGAGGGGCGGGGGTCAGCGCCCGCCACTGCCCAGGCGCCGGCCGAGCTGGGGGAGGCCGCGGCGGGGAGGGCGGGAGGAAGGTCTCCGGGCGGGACTGAGTCGTCGCCCCCCCCCCCCCGCCCGCCTCTCCGCGCGGGGCCCGGGCAGCCTGCGGGGCCGGGGAGCGGCGGCGGCAGCGCCTGGGCTGCTGTCTGGGGGAGCCGGCGTGGACCCGGGACGCCCCGGCCGGGCCGTCCAGGGCGCCTGCCCGTCTCACGCCCCGCCCCGCCCCCAGGCCGTGGGGACCCGCGCCTCGGCCTGGCGGGGTCGGTCGCGGGTCGGAGCGTCGTCTGGGGATCTCAGTGACCCCATGCTGCGGGCGACTCCCCGTCCCCGCTCCGAGCGCGCGGGGGGCTGCTGCCGCCCCTGCTGTCTGTAAGGGCCTCCGGAAGGGCCCCCGCGGGCGCCTCTGCTTCGCTTCGAGCCCGCGACTCGCTTCTTTCTTCTCTTTCTGAGGTGGCGAGGTGGGCGGGAAGCTGCGCTGGAGGGGACCGTCCCTGCAGCTCGCTGGCTGCGGCTCTAGGGCGCTGCCTCGGGGCGCCTTTGCTTCTGAGGAAACGTGGGTGAACAGCCTGTGCCTTCGGAACCGCCTGTAGCTCTGGGTGCTGCGCGCTCACATGACCCAGCCCGCCCGGCCTAAGCGCAGAGCTTGGAGAGGCAGCTTGACGTCCTGAGCAGGCGGCGCGCAGGCGGGCGGCCCGGCCTGCCGGGCAGACCCCAGGTCTGCCGACCTGCTTTCCCGGGCGCTGGGACCGCAGAGCCTGCTGGAGGGCACCACTGGGCAGGGGAGGGGTGGCCAATTCTGCCACTGCCGGGGGCCAGTGGCCAATGCGGGACCAGCCCCTGCACTGCCCAGCGCCTCCGCCGACCTCAGCCGAAAAGCAGTGTTGTGCTCTGGGAGCAGAGCTGCCGGGCTGGCCCTGTGCAGCGCCTCGTTTCTCTGAAGATGTGTTTTCACACCGTGTTGGGTGCGCTGGGAGCCGACTCTCCAGTAGATCTGAAGCTGGAGAGCTTTGTCTTGCAATGGCTGGCGGAGAGGCGCGAGGTTCCTCCACGCGCACCCGCGGCACTTGTCTGAGTCCAAAACAGCCCTTTTCTAAGACAGCCTTTCTCTGGCCTGGTCCTTGTCTCAGGACCCTGGTACACTCTTAAAAGCCTTTAAGGAGCCCGGTGAGTCTTTGTTTATGGGGTCACAACGAACTTGCTAGGAGCTACCGCCGAGACATGTTTCACTTAAGCCGTTTTTAAATAATAACCCATTTGATGTTACAAGGAAGATTTTAATGACTCACAACATTTACCCCGAAAATTTTTTTGTGAGAAGTGTGCCTTTTTCACCTTGTCAGAGCCCCCAATGTCTGCCTTGACAGAAGCTAGCTAGGTCCTCAGGTGTCTGTCCTCACTGTTGTGACCTCACAAGCCACAGCCTTTAGAAAACACAGCATGCTGGTGGAGCCGACAAGCAGTACCTTCCCATTGTTCGGAAAACAGTTTTGACAGCCAGGGCACCTCAGAAACCCCAAGCCCTGCGAAACGCTGGCAGCCTCGCCAACAGGCCTACAGCTCCACCTGCTCCAGGGCTTTTCCCCTCCAAAGCGGGCCCTTGCTCCGTGCTGCTCCTTCCTGAATCACACCCTCCTCCATCTCAACTCCGGGGGCTGGGGGGGCACCCCAGAAGGACTCCGCACACACCCAGCACCAGCTGTGCAGACACTGGGACTAATGGTCTGTTGTCCTTAGACTAGAACTGTCGCTTTCCACTGAGGTTCCTGTCCCGATGACGCCCCAGGTGGGAGTGGACATCGTTGCCACCAGATGGGCCAGGAGCAAGACACCCGGCAGGGGGATGGGGGGGCTGATGATAAGTTCTGGGGGGTGAGCACGACGAACAGGGACCTCAGCTGTGAGGGGCTGACCCCACAGAGGGCTGTCTGCGTGTGATTATCTCTGTGTGAGTCAGAAAAGGCCAGCTCTAGATGAGACGGCAGAACGGCGCCTCCGTTCTCAGACCCTATGACCAGCGATATGAAAAATAAAAGTGCTTGTAGATTCGATCCCTGTCCCTGTGAACTGGTTTTCTGCAGTGAGCAGCAGTAGAGCCCAGGCCGGCTGGCTCGCAATCCCCCTACCCTTCCGTGCGAGCAGACAGTGAGCGCTGGGTGCTGTTCTACTGTGGAGCTACTGGAGGTCACCCCGCAGGCTGCCCAAAGTGGCTTTTTACCCGTCCTTCGAGGGATGCGCTCTTCTTCATGCCTGGAACTCTAGGTCGGCGAGCACTTTAAGATTTCCCCTTTGGGGGGGGCCTCCCCTGGTGGCGCAGCAGTTGAGCGCTGGGCTGCGAAGCTGCCCGCAGCCTCTGCAGCGCCGGTTCGATCCCTGGCCACGGGCGAGGGTCCCACATGGCGCGCAGACCTCTCCTGCCATCCGCTGCTCCCCTCAGCAGTGTACTCCGTCAGTCTGCCTGCTCTGCCCCCCGCTGTCTCCGGTGGCTCCTCACCCTCCCGCGCATCTGGCCTGTACCCGGCTCTTGCATAAATAAAATCTTAAAAAAAAAAAAAAAAGCCCAAACAGATTCCCCTCTGCCTTCAGCTCTGCGCCCACCCCGCGCCCGGCGAGGGCTCGCGGAGCCCCCGGAGTGATGCTTTTCCACCACCCTGGAAAGCCAAGTACTCCGGCAGCACCCCCACTCCCCGGGGGCTCGCGGCGCGCTCCCCGCTGTGCCCGCCGGCGGGCTGGGGTCCCCGGCCGCCCGCCCCCCGCACCGCCCGCAGCCCGCTGGGCCGGCGCGGCCTCCGGGGTCTCGCGCGCGGGGCTTTCACTTCCGCCGTCGTCGCTGCCGCGCGGCGCCGGAATGCCGGGAACGCCGGCCGGTGCCGCCCGCAGCGCCGCCGGGGAGGCCCTGCCGCCGGCAGACACGGCCGCGCGCGGAGCTCCCGGCGGCGCCCCGGGGTCTGGCCGCTCCGGGGCCCAGGGGTGCCGCGCCCGGCGGGCGTCGCGTGAGCGTGCGCGGCCCGGGCCAATCGGAGGGGGCGCCGCGCCCCGGCCCCGCCCCATAGCCCGCGGGCCCCGCCCCATAGCCCGCCGGGCCCCGCCCCATAGCCCGCAGGCCCCGCCCCATAGCCCGCCGGCCCCGCCCCATAGCCCGCCGGCGCCCCGGGCGGCCGCTAGGGGCGCTGTGGCGCGGCGGGAGGGCGCTCTGGCCTCGGGCGCCGCCGCTCCTTCCGCCTTCCCGGCGGGCCCCGCGCGGCGCCTGCGCAGCCGGTGACCTTCGCGAGTCGTTGGCGTGCGGGTCGGGCGGCCGCAGCCGTGGGTCGGGGTCGGCGCCGAGGTGCGTGTTGGGGCGGGCGGGCCGGCGGGCCGCTGCCCCGCTGGCCTGTGGCCCCGCTCGCGGGGAGCTGTCCGGCGCCGGGGGCCGCGGCAGGGGTCTCGGCGGGGGTCGGGGGGACGCGACGCGGGGCGGGGGGACGCGGCGGGGCGGGGCCGCCGGCTCCTCGCAGCTGCCCCGCCCCTCCCGGGTCTGCGGTCCCCAGAGCCCCGTCTCGGAACCCCGGGGCCCGGCGCCGTCCTGCCCGAGACGGCTGTGCGCCCGCGCTCCTGTTCCCCGCCGCGCACGGGCCGCAGCCCCTGCTGGCTCGAGTCCCTGGAGCGCCCCGCTGGCCTTGAGCGGGCGGCGGGGGTAACCCTGCTTCCCAGAGAGGCGCTTCCGAAAGGACGGTTGGGGGCCTTGCTCAGGACGGCGAGCCCAGAGCTGATCAGGGTCTCCCCGGAACACCTTCCTTCGGGTGGTTGCTGGGCTCGGGGATGGGAGGAATGACCCGGTTCCCCTGAACACAGGCGCCTGGGCTTCCCCCCGGGTTCGAGCCCCCCCACCCCGCATTTCAGGGCCTTCTCCAGGCAGGGCTGTTGGTTTCTTGCAACCTAATGCCGGCCGGGCCTCCCAGTGTCCTGCGGACAGGGACTGAGGGCAGAGTGTCTGCGGGGCGCCACGGACACAGCCACCTCCTGCAGGGTCCCCCTGGGGGGCTCACCAGCCTCCCGGACCATGCTTCCCCCGCAGAGCGTGCTCGGGAGAGCTGGGCCTGGAGCCTGCTATGCGGGCTCAGCCTGCTCTCAGGCCCCCGCGGGTCAGAGGACTGGTGCAGGAGATAAGCCTGCAAAGCAGCTTGCGGACGCTGTGGTGTGCAGGACATGGAAGACTCAAAACTAAAGCTTCCTCAAGGTCTCCTGGGCATTGAGTGCCCCGCTGGGCATCACTTCCACAGGCCAGCGAGGTGTATTCTGTGACAAGGGCTAAGTGGGGGAGCCAGACATTAAGCACATAGTGGGGCTCATCTCACGGCCCTTTGGGGTGTCCTGCTTTCACCCCTGCCCGACAGGAGAAAACTAGGGCAACTCAAGGCAGCTGTCAGTGCCCACACCAGAATACCAGTCCAGGCAGCCCCAGTGGCCTCCCCCTTGTTCTGCCCAAGACACTGCTGGACAGGGCTTGCCTTGGACCCATACCGCTCCTGCTTACTCCTGCTTGGGGAGGGATAAACCATGCATCCAGCTTTAGGCCAGAGGCTGGGGAGGGGGGTGGTGTGCTGGGAGGGGCCCGGCTCACCAGAGCGCATCTCCAGGTGAAGCGGAAAGCTCTCGGGTGTGGTGCACACTGAGGGTGGCTTGGAAGACTGTCCTTGACTAGGTCACCTCAGGTGTTGCAAAGCACTTCAGCCTCAAAATGAGGGCATCTTTAATTGTGCAACGCAGAATCTAGACATAGTCGACATAGTCGTAAGTGTTCTATTGAGACCCAGATGTGAGAGCGAGTTGCGAAAGTTCGCTTTGATGACTTTTTCTATCAAGTCAAATAATTAGTTTAATAACTTTTATTCATTAAATGTTGTCACGACAGCCACTCCTAGAATCGACCTGGTGGCCTTGGCTGCCTGCTCAGTCCCAGCAGGGACCGCAGCAGAGGCAACACAGTGCTGCTGAGTAGCGCCTTGTCCTCCCCTCACAAACTGGGTCTGCGTGTGGGCCGAGCGGGGGCCCCTTGACCAGCTGGGCCTTGGTCTCCACCTGGACACAGGCCGAGATCCCGTAGCTACATGCTGGGGCTCGGCACTAGTTCCACAGAAGGACGGTTTCCTTGCCTGGACCGTGGTCTCTTCCAGCCCACGGAGTTACCGTGGTAATGCAAGACGCCAGTTTTTGTTCTAAAAAGCGATGTATCAGCTGGGACAGCATGGGGAAGAGCAGCTGTCAGGGAACCACAGGGACGGCTCAGGTTGGGAAGCTCTGGGAGCTGAGGAATGGGGAGGGAGGGTGCTGAGGGCCGGCCGCGTGGGTGTGGGGCTGGCTCCCAGGGAGCAGGGCTGATGGGAGACGCGCTGAAGTTTCCAAGCACTCACCGCGATTGTTCGCCCCGTCTATCTCCAGATGTTTCAGAGCCTCATTAAAAATGTTTGGACCCCCATGAAGCCCTACTATACCCAGGTCTACCAGGAGATCTGGGTAGGAATGGGGCTGATGAGCGTCATCATTTACAAGATCAGGAGTGCTGGTGAGTGCGTGTTCTGTTCTGACTCCCTGGCGATCACAACTGAAAGAAGAAAGGAATCCTGACTCCTGTTGTAAAGGAGCACGGGCTGAGTCAGAGCGAGTGTAGGCTCCTCGGTGGTTCTTCCTTAAAATTTGGGGCGTGCACGGCAGCTGTCAGAGGTGCTCGGGCAGCCCTCCCGCCCTCCTGTGTCTCTGCAAGGGCCTCTCCTTTTCCTGATAAGCCTGTCCTGCTGAAGAGTTGAGGGAGAGAGATGTTTGGGGACAATGAGGAAACATGAAGGGGACCTTGCTGTCGGGGAGCTGCATTTCCGGGGTGTGACGGTGGGAGACGCCTCCGTGTTACGAGGCGCCGTCTGAGAGTCCAGGCTGTCGTACCTGTGTGTGCCACATGCCTCACTGTGCCTCGAAAGTTTCGGGCGTTTGCCTGCTGAGACCCGCTCCGAGGAGAGCCGACGTCCCATCGTCGCTGATAAGCCTAACCTTAAAGGAGCACAAAATCTAAACCCCTGGGTGTGGCTTGAGAGAACCGTGGGGGCGCCCGTTCCCGAGACACCCTTGGTGCTTCCCCAGGACAGTGAACCCCCCAGCCCGGCGTTGGCTTCAACAGCGACTTGACTAGTGGCCTTTTTCCCCAGAGCTGTGATTTGACCGGCTTTTCCTTCTTTGCATTTTAGATAAAAGAAGTAAAGCTTTGAAAGGTGAGTAGTCGCTGCTTCAGTGCCCCACCAGAAGGCTCTGTGGCAGCTCTGAACCACAGTTGGTGCATGGCGGGCTGCCCTCACCTGCCGGACGCAGCGTGGGGGCCGCCGGGCAGTGCCTGGGCCAGGCCCCAGGAGCGCGGGGAGGTGGTTACTCGCAGCTTGCCCTGGGCGGGGCCCCAGCGCATGGCCCCGTAAGCTCCCGAGTGATGGTGTTTTTATTTTTTCATCTTTGCCATTTAAAGTACATTTTATTTATTTTTTTTTAAATAATAAATTTTATTTTTATATTCCCCATATAATTGCAACCCCCCCTTTCTGATCCCAATCCCTCCCCTCCCGCCCCCCACCCCCCCAAAAGTGTCTCTGGTTCATAGTTGTTTGTTGATTCTGATTTTCACTTTCTCATAGTTATTCATTTTCCGGGTCCCTTATTTAAGTTTTCTAGATTCCTGCTATGAGTGAGACCATCCGGGATTTTTCTTCTTCTTTCTGGCTTATTTCGCTGAGCATGATCCCCTCCAGCGCCATCCATGTTGCTGCAAATTGCATGTGCTTATCTTTTTTGAATGCTGAGTATAAAGTACATTTTAATGAGAACACTTTATCACCATCTTTCAGTAAAAATGATTTGCAGTTTTTAATCTGAAACTGCCCTGGCGTTAGGGCGTCATTGCCCTGGAACCCAGGGGGTTTAGGTGCCACCAACCGCTGGCCCCTCCAGGCTCCGCTGCGGTGGGTGGACAGCTCGGGCTCGTGCTGAGTGTGTAGCTGCCTCCGACGAGGGGCCACGCGTGGGGAGTTGAGCGTGTGTTTTTTCTAACACAAGCATTCCTGTTACATCTGTGTTCCCGATAGGAAAATCTTTTCATATTTTTTTTTTCAATTTTTTTTTTTGTTAACGCATACAGGAGCTGGGGTGCAGGCCAGAGGTGGGGGGGTAAGAGCACTCCCCAGAGACAGTGGGGAGCAGAGCAGGCAGATCCACTGAGATCCACTGCTGAGGGGAGCAGCGGGGAGACAGGAGGGGTCTGCTGCACCTGTGGGTCAGCTCCCTGGCCAGGGGTTGCACTCAGGCTGCGGTGGTGACCCCTGGGCCACCAGGGAGGCCCTTTTTGTGCTTTTTATTCTTGCGAAGACTGACGTGCAGTCCGTGGTGGTGGTGCGGCCCTCCCTATCCCCACGACCTGCAGGTGGAGCCGGAGCACTTTGCCTGCAACTCTGGTAACGCCGTGAGGAATCCCTTGTGCAGTTGCAGCCTCTTGTCAAGGACTGGGGCCTCTGGCAGCCGAGTGGGGCCCTGCTCTTGCCTGCGGCAACGGCTGCGGGTGTTGTTCAGGCTGAGCCGAGGCCCCCTGGGCAAGTGACATGTTCTGGGGTGTCCTTGAAAGTAACCACCATGTCGGTTTCTGCCCAAGTGCTGAACACAGCTTCACTTTGCTCCATGTGTGACAGTGAAGCTGATGAACAGCTTGAGTGCGACAGCCGGCTGGCCACGGCCTGGGCCCTCCGCCTGGGCTGGAGCGTGGCCTTTACTCCTGCAGGCTGGCGCCTGTGGGGTGGCGGCGTCTGTTCCTCCCCTGACCTGCTCCTCTCTCTAAAGGTCCGAGTCCCGCACCTGCCCACGGCCACCACTGACCGGCCCGCCGCAGCGCCAGGCCGATGGAGCCGGCAGCGTGGGACGTCCCTGTGCCCTCGTCCAGCCCCGTCTCCTCCTTGACGTGAATAAATGTCCCTGTGAGACCGGCCTGCCTGCCCGCTGCTGCTTCACGCCCTCCCCCTTGTGCCGTCCGTGTGCTCCGCCTCCCGGCCCGTCCTCCAGAGCCTAGGGACCCCAGGGTCGGCAGCACATCCCCGAGGGAACTGGGGTTGGCTCTCGTGGGGGTGACCGTTCCCGAGTGATTCTGCTGCGGCTCCCGGTCCCTCTCAGCCTCCATTTTCCCGTTTGGAAGCAGAGTTGGCCATCACCGTTCCTGACCACTGAGGGGGGAGCGGAGACTCGGGGAGGCGTCTTCAGCTATAAGTCGCTTCAGTGGCCAAGCGGGGCTTGGTCACATGGCAGTGGGCTGCGGCACCCTGGGGCTTGGTGCCCCACCCCAGGGGGGGGGGAGCTGAGCACCTGCCTGGCGGGCGGGCGCATGTCTCTTCTAGCCAGGCTGTCTGTGAGCAGTGCCCACAGCTTCACCCCGCCAAGGCCGCGCAGCCTAGCATTGCAGCGCAGGCGTGGGGAGGGCCGCCCAGCCCGAGCGTGGCTTCGCAGACTGAAGGGCCTCTCCTCGAGGGGCGCGGCCACCCCTGCCCAGCGGCATGCCCTGAGCCCGGTGCCTGCATTTGCCATGGTCTCTGTGCCCCGGGACCCAGCTCCTCACTGGCCTCGCTGAGGCTTCAGAGCTGTTAGGATCTAAGGGACACCCGCAGGCCCCACAGAGGGCTCTGGGGCGAGCTTCCACACACACACCCCCCCCCCGCAGCTGCTCTTTCTGGGGAGCCCCCTGCTGTCCACCCCCACCCATGAGCCAGCCAGAAAGGCCTCGGCACCGGAGCTGAGTCGGCCTCTGTTCTTTCTCAAGCCTGAGGCACACCAGGGACCCTGGGCGGCGGCAGAGCCTATGGTCGGGAAGGGGCCTTAAGACACTGGTCCCGACGGTTCCCAGGCGCCCAGGCACACTCTCAGCAGGCACACCCGCTTCGCCTGAGCAGGCAGCCCCTGCTGCAGCGGGGGGACAGCCTGGCACAGGAGGCATGCAGAGCTGCCCCTGAGCAGCACGGGGCTGGCGTGGGGGCCAGTAGCACCCCCGCCGCCTGCGGGCCCTTCCATGGGGAGTTGGTGGGTGGGCTGCTGGGTAGGAGGCACTCAGGGCCAGGCCCGCACCACACCTGCAGAGCTGGGGGCCGTGGACTCTTGGGGGGCCCCAAGGAGGGGAGGGGCTGGCCTGGACAGGCTGCTGGGGACCGCAGGGAGGACCACAGGGAGTTTGGTCAAGGATCAGCCATGCCTTAAAAAGTGGGGTGAAGTCTGCTAGCCCGAGTGACTTCCTATCTCAGACCCAAGTTGGGGCTGTTGCCAGCGGAAGTCAGAGCTGCCCAGAAGCCACTCGGTGACTCCTGGCTTTGGGACCCGGGCCGGGTGGGCTGGGCTGAGTTAGCAAGAGGGAGACAGGCCCTGGGCCCCACCTCCCACATGGTGAGCGTCGCTCTCGGAGCCGGATGCTGCTGGAAACGTGCTTCAGGGAGCAAGGTACATCAGAGCCGCCATGGACAGCTGCCCTGCCCAGCTCCCAGCTGCCTGGCACACCCTGAGCTGGACCCCAGCCCCGGGGGGGGGTGCGCACCTTGGCTTCCCTCCCCCCCAGAAGGCAGCGGTGGCCACTCATGCTCTGCCAGGCACTGAGCGCAAGGTGTGGGGAGACGGGTCAGTGGGGGACACTCCCTGCATCATGGGGCCCTTTGCTGGGCACTGGAGTCAAGAGCAAGCAGGTGCTGTTTCCGCCTCAGCAGAACACATTGAGGGGCTGTGAATGTCACGCTTATTCGGGCAGAAGTTCAGGGTGATGAGGGTGGCGGACCGGAAACATCTCAGTTCCCACGAACACCAAACACGGCAGGTTAAGTCACGGCTCATGGGAAATACACGGTGTGTCAGCTGCCCAGCGTCCGAGCCACGCAGCCCGCATGTCCCTGGTGTCGGCCATAGCGCCAGGCCTGCCGCTCCCTGGGCTCCGGAGGCCCTAGTGGGGAGCATGCCCCTTGGTGTGTTACAGGGAGACTTGGGGAGCTCTGAGGGGCCAGCCATCAGGAGGACCAGCTGTGGGGGGCATCCAGTACTACCCCTGGCTTCCTGGGAGGCCAGGGGCAGGGCAGGAGGCCAAGTTGGGTTACCCCAGCCAGTGAGTTGACCTGCCTGCCAGGGAGCCTCCATGTGAGCCAGGAGGGGCTCCAGGCACCAGACCCTGGCAGGGGCTGCTTTGCTCAGGCCCGTGCCCGCGCCCGCTGCGCTGGTGCTGCTGCGCGCCTTGCCTTGCGGTGTCCCCAGGGGCATGAGGCTGGGTGTGGGCCCTGAGCGCAGCCCCAGCCAGTGCGCCTCGCTGGAAGTGGGGGCTCCGGGCTCCGACGGGTTGGCCGGGAGCAGGCAGCCGTGCGGCAGTAGAGGTGGAGGCGGCCTTGGGAGACGAGGCCCCAGTCTGTGGACCCGGTGGCGTTTCTGGGCATGGCGACACCGAGTCCTGTCTCGGGCACCCGCCGGTGTCCCAGGGATGGCGGGGTGGGGGCGGGGGCGCACCCAGGCTTACCTCGGAACTGGCCCGGGCAACGTGTGGTGGTTTCTGTCTTACTTAAGACGCGTCACGTTTCTTATGAGCCACAGTCTCTCGACTTGTTTTTGCTTCCAGCTGGCGAAGCAGCCGCCCTTTAAAGCACGGGTACAGTCAGGTGTTCACAGGTCCCCACAAACCAGAGCTCCCTCGTGCCCTGCGCATCCCTCGCTGTCTGCCAGAGGGCCTTCCCCCGGGAGCCGCCTCATGGGGCCTGCGTTAAAGCTTATCCCTGGAGGGAGGGGCCCAGGGGGCCGCAGGGAGGGTCATTGGTGCCTGGGTGGTGGGCATGACATGGCGACACTCATTGTCATCAACCAGTGTCACCTTAGTTAGAAAGGAGGTCTCTGCTCAGCTGTGGCCCCCCAAGATCATTTGCCGGGGCCTCCCTTGGTGGCACAGGCAGTTGAGTGCCACGCTGTGAAGCCGTCCGCAGTCCCTACAGCACCAGTTCGATCCCGGCCGGCCAGCGAGGGTCCCACATGGCACGCAGACCTCTCCTGTCTCGCCCGCTGCTCCCCTCAGCTGTGTATTTCACTGAGTCCGCCTGTTCTGTTCCCCGCTCTGTCTCTGGGGAATCCTCTCACCCTCCTGCGCATCTGGCTTGTAACCCAGCTCTTGTATAAATAAAATAAATAAATCTTAAAAGAAAAATATCTGCCAGGACCCCAGACAAACACCTTGCCCCCGGGGCCTCAGCTCCCCTTCTGGCAGCGGTTTTGATGGGCTGGCTTGTGGCTCTGCTGATCCTGCACCCCACCCCAA